ACCTCAATATCAAGGTAATATTACATGTAAGATTCGTAATATAACGTTGTAATATTACAGTAATCTTACAATGATCTTAAAATGTCCGCCTCAAGGTAATATTACCGGTAATGTTACTGTAATATTACGCGCTAATATTAAGGTAATATTACAGTAATATTGCAGTAATATTATACCGTAATATTAAGGTAATATTACAAGAGAATATTACAGTAATATTATGGGAACATTTCTTTACGAAAAAAATCTACCCATCCAGGGAATCGAACCCCGAATACAAAGCACACGAGTCCAGAGTTTTACCAACAAGCCAAATTGACTTATAATATATTTACGTTTTTTATGCTTTATGAATAACTCAAATCAGTCTGTAATATTACTGTAATATTACCTTGAGGCGGACATTTTAAGATCACTGTAAGATTACTGTAATATTACAGCGTTATATTACGAATCTCACGTGTAATATTACCTTGATATTGAGGATATATTACGTGCTTCTTGGGCATTCAAATATATTCTACTCGGACGTTAAAGAATTAATAATTATGGATTTTTTATTATTTATTTTGTTGTATCCTAAATAAACAATTGTTTTTACTTAAATAGTGGTTTTTTGGACATAAAAAAAAGAACAGCGTCGATTATTTTTGCGTGAAAAGTAATGCGAATATCGCTCTTATAAAAAAAACTAAAAATTTTTACAAATAAATCTTCTTGAGTGTTTCCAAGTCCTTTTTAAAAGAAAAGTTTAAAAAAATCATATCAAAATTTAAAAAAAAATTATTTGTAAAAAATTGTTTTTTTTTAACAAAAATTAAAAAAAAAACGGAACCTCTCCTTTCTTGGCAAAAAATTTGCTAAATTCAATATTTTCAGTAATTTTGTCTTTGAAAAGAGGGCTATACATTGAAAAAACCAAAATTAGGAAAATTTATAATTCGTAAACTTTTTTTAAAACAAAAAAAATACGTATACCATTATTTTTCTCTAAATAGAAAGAAATATATTTGGTCGAATTTAAGAGGTCGACTTAAAATTTAACATAAAATCGCCCATAATGTAAACCATAGAGATTCCTCTTAATATGAAACTATATTGATTGATTTTCTTTCAAATGTAAAAAATTTGTCTTTTTTAATATTACAAAAAAAAGTTGTTTCATTGAAAATTAATACTGAAAATAGTATATTTTATATTTAATTCACTTTTATAATATTATTCCGTAATACACAGACAATTTACATATACAGACATCGGAAGTTTTTAGCGCATGTGCATTTGGAATCGACGTCAATGAAGAAATGCGAACACATATAATATACCAAGTCCAACCTCAGTTGGCTGTGTTGACATGTTCTACATTTAAAAAATTTTTTTTTTCAAACATGTGCTCCAAAATATATCAAGATTATTTTACCATCAAGTGCAGTTGATTCAATATTTTTCTTATTTATATCTTTCATAAATAGGTATATATTAAATTAATATATATATTTTGCTTCTTTTTCTGTATTTAATTTCAAATTTTTTTTATGGGGAAATTGAAAAAAATATAATTTATATTTATTTATTTATTATTATTATCTTTTTTTTTCTCACTAAACTCTATGAGGAAAAAATAACGAATAGATAATAATTACTGAATTTAAAATTTTAGTTTTACGTTATAGATATTTGCATTAGATTATATTGTTACTCTGACATTTTATATATATATATATTAATGTGTGTAACAGGTTTGCATGTGAATATGATATCCTGAAAATAAGTCAATACCAAGATTATTTACTATTGTTTGCTGGTAAAATGTAGACTTTATATTATTGACGTATAAAAAGCAGTAAACTTGTGTTATATATACTGATTTTCTGTGATCACACATAATATATTGCAATGGAAAATCTTTTTCTTTTATCTATAGCTTTGTAATAAAAGTCTTAATAATTTTTAAAGTCTAACGTAATTTTTCATAATTTTTTTGCAACTTTACAATTTCTTGAATATTATATGCGACGTACACTCTGATATAAAGTATTTATTCGAAAGATTAGGAAAAAAGATAGTTTGCTTATTTATTTTAAATTGCGCAAAGTTAAATTACTATAATGCCTAATATTTTTGAATTTTTATTCACTACGATTTTTGTTTTCAATAAAACAGAAATAAGAAAGAAAAAAATTGAATATATATTACAAAGTTGCGAATACTGCTTAATTATTTTTAAGTAAGAATTTATTCTTATATATTTAGAATTATACTCATAAATTAAAAATATTCTCAAATTTAGAATATTCTTAAATTTAAAATATTCTCAAATTTAAAATATTCTTATACATATCTAGAATATACTATAAAAGTTAGTATATTCTCAAATTTAGAATATTATTTATTTTTTAATATTCTCAAAATAAGAATATTTTTCAAATTTTTATTATTCTTAAATATATAATATACTTTTTAAATTAAAAGTATTCTTATATTTAAAAAATATTCTTAAATTTACAATATATTCTTGAATTTAGAATATAATTTAAAAAATTTAAATATTCTTAAATGAAGAATATACTTTTACATTAAAAATGTTTTTAAATTAAAAAAAAAATCCTTAATTCTTATTTTCCTAATAATTTGAACAAGATTTTATGTAGGTAATAGAAAAAAAAGAGTTTTATACTGATATAGTACATTTTTTATTGTTATCAAAAATTGATCCTATTTGGATTTATAAAAATGTCAGTGAAGAAAAACGTAACATGTATTACTAAGGAATTAATATTTGGAAAACTATAGAATTTTTTATTTATGAAAATAATTATTCATAATTTTTTTTTCTTACTTTATTTTCTCAGAAATATATACTAGAATTTACACATATTTTTAACGTTTAAAGATAAGGAAAGAATCCTATTATTTTGAGAGGATTTCAATTGTGTCTAAATTTAACAAAAAAAGATACGTCAACATAAGTGAAATTTACTATCATTTTGAGAATAATTCATTAATTTTCAAATATAAAAAAAGTTTCCTAAATATAAAAGGGATCCTCTTATTATGAGAGGAATTCGTGATAAAATGTAAAATAAATTTTTATTATTTTTTAATAATAAAATAATCATCTTTAGGTAAATACTAAAAAAAAAATTTAAATTACTCAGTGAGAAAATATTATATTAATCTTTTTTTTATTCAAATATTGTATTTAGGACTAAATATTAAAAAGTTTAGTGTAAAATTGATTGGAAGTAATAAAAGAACTTTATATAAACAAAAAAAATTTTAAAGTAGGATTCTTAAATAATAAATATATATGTATATGTAATAAATCATTGGGTAGTAATTAATAAAATTTGTCTTTGAACACGCAAAATAAAGTTTTATGACTTTTATAATTGACACTTTGCAACAAATACTGAAGTGTACAACTGACAATTATTATGAAAAAACATATAAAGCTTTGTCCATAAATGTTTCTTTGAATTATGTTTATAATCATTTGTCAAGGTTCTATTTTATGGTTCTTCACTATAGATACCTATACATAAGTATTTTGTAATTTTTTTTTTCTATTTTTCATTTCTTTTTTCGAATTCATAAAATTATTTTCAACCAAAAAAAGAAAAAAAAAACTGGAAAACTACCAAAATTATATTAAATATTTAGTAATTTTTTTGCAATTTTTCATTTCTTTTTTTCGAATTCATAAAATTATTTTTAAAAAAATACAAAAAATTATTTTATATTTTGTAATTTTTTTTTCTATTTTTCATTTCTTTTTTTCGAATTCATAAAATTATTTTCAACCAAAAAAAGAAAAAAAAAACTGGAAAACTACCAAAATTATATTAAATATTTAGTAATTTTTTTGCAATTTTTCATTTCTTTTTTTCGAATTCATAAAATTATTTTTAAAAAAATACAAAAAATTATTTTATATTTTGTAATTTTTTTTTCTATTTTTCATTTCTTTTTTTCGAATTCATAAAATTGTTTTCAACCAAAAAAAGAAAAAAAAAACTGGAAAACTACCAAAATTATATTAAATATTTAGTAATTTTTTTGCAATTTTTCATTTCTTTTTTTCGAATTCTTAAAATTATTTTGAAAAAAATACAAAAATTATTTTATATTTTGTAATTTTTTTTTTTCTATTTTTCATTTCTTTCTTTGGAATTCATAAAATTATTTTCAACCCAAACAAGAAAAACTGGAAAAATTACCAAAATTATTACATATATTTTGTAATTTTTTTTTAATTTTCAATTTCTTTTTATTTATTTCTTTTTTTTGAAAATATAAAAAATTATTTTCAACGAAAAAAAGAAAAACTGGAAAAATACCAAAACTATTGCGTCTTTTGAGAAATTTTTAAACTTTGATAAAATGAAAGACTTTTAGCAAATATAATTAAGAATAGGGATCAAATATATTAATAAGTATATGAGTACAGTCATAAATATCATGCTAAGAGAAATATGATATATTCTACGAAATATAATTCACGACGCGTATATAATTTTATGTATATATGCAGAAAAAAATTCTTTTGAAAATAAAAAATTTACGTTACATTTTTTAATGATTTAAACAAAAAGAATGGAAAATTAATGTTGGATGATTTTTCTAATATTTTTTCTATCTATCAATATATTATTCAAAACAAAAAAAAAATACAATAAATAAGCATTATAAAATAATTTAATTAACACCCTGCATAAATTTTTTTAAAAATTAAATTCCACTTTCAAAAATTTTCAAAACGGAAATTTATTAATTTAATGCTTTATTAAATTTAAATATATTCAAAAATTTAAATAACCTAAAGGAAGGTTTCATTATTGTTTTTTTTTTTATTTTTTGAAAATTCATTATCTTTTTTATTTGATTTTTTCTACTTCCATGAAATCTGTGTTTAATGTTTTATAGCTTTTAAGTCATGAATATACAAATTTTTTAAATGCATTTTTTTCTTTTATTAACAAAAATGATTTGTGTTGCAGAAAAATTTACAAGGACTGACAAAAATGGTACCTACAGATCGCGCTATTCAAGAAGCCATACAGGTTTCATCTTTAGTATTCTCGGATGATGTCAGACGACAGAAAGTAAGAAAAGAGAATTATTTTTACTAAATAAAATATTAAAAAAACATTTAAATATACCAAAGAGATTTGAGATATATGATATAGATCATGTTCAGAGTCCGCATCATTTAATGATTCTAATGACATTTGACCTGAGAATATTCTTACAGTCTCATAATTATATTTTTTTTCTGCTTTTACCTAATTAAGTCTTTTTTATATTTATTATAAAATAATATCACAGAGCAAAAGGGTTATCGACACGCTCTCCTTATGTTCAAATATTTCATAAGTTTATAATCAATACGTAAATATTTTACATTTATATATTTTATTTAATTTCTCTTTATCAATGTATATATATTGGAAAGTTCTGGAAATATCGCAACTGATGTTAATAATTTTGTTTTAAACAAAATTTTAAATTTTTTCGAAAATTGAAAAAAATAATTTTCATTAGAGACAAAAAGTTCCAATTCCTAAGGGCCCAAGTTATTATTTTCCCAAAGGACATTTTTTTCAATAGTCGTTTTATTATTTTTTTCCAAAAAAAAAAAATTTATTTTACCTCCATGAAGTTGGCGTCGAAGCTCAGCGCCGAATTAATGTTTGTCACAGGACCAAAAATGTCAAATTATTTTGTTTTTAAGATTTTCGGTTCAAATAATAATGCATTGAGAAATACTTTTCAAGATATTATGTAGAACCAAAACCTTTTTAAAAATGATTTAATATTTTTGGTACCCGTGAAAAATGATTTTCGACGCCAACTTCATTGAGGTGTTTTTTTTTTATTTTTTAAATTGTGAAAATTATAAATTTTAGTTAAATTGTAAAGTGTAGTATAAATATATAATAAATATTGCAGAAATTATACATGGAAAATATTTTTTTTACACTTTTACGATGTTTGGAAATTTTGTACTTTGGAAAAATAAATTTTTGATCTTTTAAATATGGAACTTTTTTCTTGGAACTTTCGTTTTGAAACTTGTGTTTTGGAATTCTTGTATCCCAATCATTTTTAAAAATTTTTAAAGTTTATAAAAATAATGACTACCAACATTAATTTCAATGTAAAAGTTTTGAAATCATTTTTAAATAAACAAATAATTTTGTAATGATTTTAATACAATATGGTGTATTCTATGTGAAAGGAGGAAGGCCCCTAAGGCCTATATTTCGCCCCCTTGGGATTTTAATTTAAATGGTTGAAAACTTTTTCTTATAGTAGAAAAAGTAATTTTTCATTGATTTTAGGTGAAACGGGGGTGTTTTGGTCAAATTAACCCTTAGATTTTAGGGTTTTTTTATTTTCAAAAAGAGTGTCAGTTTTTCAAAATTCAAAATGGCGGAATTTTTTTTAAAAAATCGTTTGGATTTGCTTGAAACTCTCCACCGGGGTTTTTGGGGTCGCTGATTACGAATCAGAGGTCAGGTTTTCAAAATTCAAAATGGCGGATCCAATATGGCGGACAACTATTAAAAAAATCGTTCGGATTTGCTTGAAACTCTCTACTCGGGGGTATTTGGGGTCGCTGAAAATGAATCCGGAGTCAGTTTTTCAAAATTCAAAATGGCGGATGCAACATGGCGGACAAATATTTAAAATCACTGACAACTACTTACTTCAGACGAATATATTAAGTTTTTTCAAAAGTTGTCCGCCATATTGGATCCGCCATTTTGAATTTTGAAAAACTAACGTCGGATTCGTAATCAGCGACCCCGAAAACCGAGCAACGATTTTCAATGAAAAATTACTTTTTCTACTATAAGAAAAAGTTTTCAACCATTTAAATTAAAATCCCAAGGGGGCGAAATATAGGCCTTAGGGGCCCTTCTCCTTTTCGTTGAAAATTTTTTTTCGAAATTTTTTACAAAAAATAAGAAAATTCGTATTTTTTACTTCATTAATTGATAAAAATGATGAAAGATTTGATTTTTTTAAAATTTAACATCGTTAAAGGCAAAATACTTCTAAAATGAGTTTTTTTTCTCCTACTAAGAGATAAAAAATAACATTATTTTTTATCTAGTATGACAGAGAAAAACAGGTATCAAAAGTACTCTACGTTAAATTTTCAAGAAATCATATTTTCCATAATTTTTATTAAATAAAAAATACGTATTTTTTTATTTTTCATAAAAGTTTAAAAAAAAATGTTCTTGTCAAAAAAAAAAAAAAATGTTTTTTTGAAATAAAATCTCACGTGGAATGACTCATATAAAAGAAAAAAATAAATGACTACCAGTGTGTCATTTTCTTTTATTTATTAGCATATTAATTACCGTTGTTTATATTATTATTACTCTAGAAAATAATATACAAGAAAGTTCCGAGACAATTTTATTGCGAAATAGTCTCGGTTACATTGCTCGACTTGCTCTTGAACTCTGCGCGTTCTTCGTGTGTTATAATGAAATGCTCTATAGCAAATACACAAGAGATTGAAATCAATGATCTGTCGAAATTCAAATACACAAGACAGATGAATAATGTATACATTTATTTTTTTGGCAAAATAATGTCATTTTCGAAGAAATGGCAACTATTGCGACTTTTTTTTTTTATTGTGTGTCTCTGTTTTTTTTTACATTTTTATCTATTTTTCTCTTAAATAAGCATCAGATAATTATTTTAAATTATTATTTTGAACTCGTTTTTTGCTTCCTGATTGTTTATGCGCGCAGGATATGATATAATCTTGATATAAACACATCACGAACGGCCATAAGGAATTTTTAAAGCAAAATTTTATTTAACTCCAAACATCGAGTTTTTCCTCTTTTTTAATAATGCATTTTAAGGTAATTCCTACGGGGAACAATTATTATAAATTAAAATCACTAATTTTTATTATAAAATTCTAAATATTAAATTTAATTTTTGTTGCTAAGTTGACGTATTTGTTTCAATGTATTTGCAACAATGTAAAAAGTATTCTATTGAGACATTATTTTGGTTGCACCATTTTTGGATTTTTTAAAAATCTGACATCAAATTAGAATTCAGCGACCCCAAAAATCACGAAAAAGAAGTTTTAAACGAATTGTATTCATTTTACAAAAGTCCGCCATATTGAATTCGCCATTTTGATATTTTGCAAATCTGACACCAAATTCAGAAACATCAACTACAAAAACTCTCGCGTTTAATAAGTTTAAAAAAAATCCGATCATTTTAAAAAATTTCCAGTCTTCATATTAAAACAAGCAACTATTGTAAAAATAAACCTGTAATAAAACTGAATTTTATTTTTTTAAAATCTTTCCTTATGCATAATTTAGCATACCATTTTTTTGTCAATTATGCAGACCGACAAAATTTTAGCCTACTTCAGAACAGACAACGAGATTTTTTTTCAAAAAACTCGATACAGCATCTGAAAGTACTATTTTTACTCTTTAAAATGCATTTTGGAACTTTAAAAAATCTTTATTTGGCTCTGAGTTATCGTCATTTGAATTTTTTTTATACATATATATATATATATATACGAATATTGAAAAACTCACCAAACTCAGAAAATTCAAATGACGATAACTCAGAGCCAAATAAAGATTTTTAAAAATTTTTAAAGGCTAAGAAAATAGTACTTTCAGATGCTGTATCGACGTTTTTGGAAAAAAAATTATCTTTTGATGTTACATAACCTTAAATATGCTCAAAAATCATAATTTTTGCACTTTTAGGTTAGGATATCCCAAAAACCTGACGTGCTGGGTCAATGCTAATTCTGGGGTAGAAAACTATCCCAGAAAAAATTATAAAATTTCGGCGTTTTTTCATTTTTGTTTTTGTAATATTTTTGATCATATGTTTGATTCTATTAAAAAACAAAAAACGCCACCTTCTGTCTTATAAAAAGAACGAAGAAAATGACTGTTAATAAATTTTTTTACGTTAAATATAAACATTCTAGCAACATTGGGGTGATATTATACCCCAGTTGTACTTCTATGTATGGGCCAGCTACGTTGTACTGTCTTAGGTTTAAGATAAAATTTCCCCCAAAGAAGTTAAATAAAAGTGACCTGAATACCTATTATAGACAATTGGTGACTTACTTGAATTCCATTTTGGCCATTTGAGGTTAACTTCCTTTGAAAAAATTGATCCGGATAACCGGTAGACACTTGGTAACACCCAAATGTTACTTTTCTGCCAGATAATGTTAATTTTCCATAAATATTTGACCAAAAGTGACATTGCTACCTGTCCTAATCAGCATGAAAATTCGCAGCAAACTTGCAAGAAGCTTGCCGTGCAAGATGTGCAAGATTGCAGTGCAAACATGTAGCAAGTTTGGTACAAGCAACAAAATGTCCTCTTGCGGCAAGGTAGTTAAGCAAACTTGCAAAAAGCTTGTATAATGCTAAAAAAAATTTTGTTCGAAACAATTTGTTACTAAATAAACATAAAGAGCACCCTGCTTTGAAGATTAAAAAATTTATTGTGCAGCCGTAGGAGCTTCCGTTTACAACTGCGCATCGTGTTAAGTTTTGCAAACTTGCAGCAAGCTTGCGCCAACGTTGCCCTGCAAGCTTGCCGTAGGAGGACATTTTGTTACTTCTACCAAACTTGCTACATGTTTGCACTGCAATCTTGCACACCTTGCACGGCAAGCTTCTTGCAAGTTTTCTGCAAGTTTTCGTGCTGATTGAGGTGTGACATTTGTTGACAGTTTTATTATTATTATTTTCATTGCTTCCTCCCAAATAGCACGGAAACTTGCAGCAAGTTTTCTGCAAGTTTGCAGTGCAAGGTTTGAAAGTTTGTAAGGTAAGTTTGCAGCAAACTTGTGGCAAATATTAAAATGTCCTCCCTTGGCAAGTTTGCAGCAAAAACTTTCTGCAAACATGCTAAGCAAAATTGTCGAAAAGTTTCAAGAACAATTTGTAGCAAAATTGCGCTGAAAATTTTTAGAAATTTTAAAAAGGAAGTTTTAGTAAAATAAATATTTAATAGTTTTATGGAAAATTATTTTGTCAATTTCTTTTGAATTTAAATAATTAAATCACAGAATAGAAAAGGAGAAATAACGAAACAATTGTTTGAAAGAAAATTTTTTTAATTTATTCTCAGTGACTTTATACATTTGAAAATATTTGTTATGGAACATTTTTAAAATTAAGTACAATTTATTAGCCCCGATGTTAGTGGCTTAAAAACATTAAAAATCGAGATATGGTATTGAAAATCAAAGATGACACTCTTTCAGTATTTTGTCTCGTATTTGAAGAAAAAGAAGCTAAAAATTTATTTTATTATTTATAATTGTTTGTTATGAATACTAGAATAGAAACTATTTTTCATTTTTGCCTTCTGTAAAATTTTATTAATAATATCAGACCGTTCGTATTTACCCCGGAAAATTGGAAAACCGGGGTAAATCCGAACGGTATTTTCAATAATTTTTTCTTATATCAAAAATTGTTTTTATTTGATTACACTATTATTTTAACATTATAAAAGTACATAGAAAAAAGTTTTTCTTTCTATATGTATCCTCGTTAGTAATTAATAAGCAGAAACTTAATCTCTGTTCTCTCGAAGGAGTGTTCCACTTTTTTTGCCAAATGGTTTGTTGAAAAAAGTTTTTCAGGATCTTAATAAAATTTGGTATTCTAGGGTTTTTGGGGTCGCTGATTACCAATTTGAAGTCAGTTTTTCAAAATTCAAAATGACGGATCCAATATGGCGGACGAGAATTAAAAAATTCATTGGATTCGCTCAAAAATTGTTACTCGGGGGGTTTCAGGGTCGCTGATTACGAATTTAGAGTTCGCAAATTTGATCATTTTTAAAAATAAGTTTTAGGAAAGTCCGCCATTTTGAATTTAAAAAATTTGACTTTTATTTTTGTATTTACATTCAATCACTCCAAAATACTTTCTGTACCAAGTTTTGCAAAAATCCGTTATGATTTGATAAAGTTATTGAAGGTTTTAATTGTGTAATGCATTTTAATTTTTAACCTGTTTGATTTTTGTATTTATATATGATGCATTATTACATAATAGGTTTATTATCGTATTTTTTTTTTGAGTTTTTATATAAGTTTAACAATTGCAATACTTTAAATTTATTTTCCCTAAGATTTTTCTGATATACAGTGGCGTTCGTATTTACCCCGGTATTTTAGGAAAGTTGCAAAGTATCGAGGTAAATACGAACGCTAAGTTTCCTGCGATTGTAATTTATCAAAAATTTTTGCTACCCCATAAAATTCTTCTATGGAAGTAAAGTAACAACTTCATGCACCAAAATACCGGAAGTATTGTCTTTTAAAAGAAAAAACTTATATGTTATTTTTGAAACTTACTAAAAGCGTTCGGATTTACCCCGGCTTACCCTACCCGCGGTAGAAATTCAGTGATTTTTCTACCAAAAAAAATCCTTTCAGATGACACCTGGACTTCTATACACAGATATTGAATCCTATCATAAATCATTTCAATTTATTTTAAAATCATATAATCGAAGATTTTTAAATTAATTATTACTTCCAGATTGAAAATCGCCTTGAACAAATGCGATTCTCGGCTGCTACTGTCAGAAAAATACAGAATGTTTTCAAAAGTGAAATGGAAAAAGGCATCCATCAGCAATCATCATCACTGCAAATGGAAAATACATATATACCGGAACTTCCTAATGGATCAGGTCTGTAGAATTGATATACATAGTAAAAAAAAAGAAATAGAGCAAGGAATTAGTATAATTTGTCATTTTTTTTAGAAAACTTAATTTGTTACTTAAATTTTATTACGTATAGCAATTATTATTATTTTCATAAGTAAACAAGTTTTGTGGATTAAGGAATTAACTTATTTCTTTTTTTTTGTTTCATTAAAATGCTATAGAAGAAGGACTATTTCTGGCACTTGATCTTGGAGGAACAAATTTTCGAGTAATTCTACTCGAATTGGTTAATGGCGTTGCTGTGCGTGAGGACGTGAAAAAATATCACATTCGAGCAGATCTTAGAACGGGTTCAGGAATTCCTCTCTTTAACTATCTTGCCGAATGTGTCAGTGACTTCGTCATCAATGAGGGTCTTCAGGATGTAGAGCTTCCTCTTGGTAAATTAAAATCAATATCTCCTATAAAACCAACTGCTGAGAACTTAATTAATCTTATACTTTTTATTATTGTTTGCAACACTTTGGTAAAAAAACGTCTAATTAAATATAAGAATCCATTACAGTCCACCCCGAAAAATCTAATTTACACATGAGAACCAAGAGTTTCTTTTATTAGTTTTAACCTAGTTATTAGTAGTTTTTTTTAAATATAATTATGATTTATCTATATAGTTATCAGTGACAATTTTTTTTTTGTTTCAGGTTTTACGTTTTCATTTCCCATGATTCAACATTCATTGGATGTTGGTATATTAGTGACGTGGACGAAAAGTTTTAATTGTCCTGACGTAGTTGGCAAGGACGCAGTTCAACTTCTTCGTGAGGCATTGGATAGAAGAGGTGATACTCGAGTTAATGTTTTAGCGATTTTGAATGACACTACAGGAACTTTAATTCAGGGAGCCACTCAAGATCCAAATACGGCTATTGGATTAATTTTAGGAACAGGAAGTAATGCTTGCTATCTTGAACGGGCGGATAAAGTGGAACATTGGGAAGTTGAACGACATGGAGAGAGACAGGTTTGCTACTTTTTTTATTTTTCAAATTTCGCGTTCAAAAAAACAGTTTTTCTATTTCAATTCAATTACTAATATTTAAATATTAGGGGAGCAACAGTAAAATTACAGTAGGTTAATCTCCCAAAGTGGTTCACCTCCTCAAGTGGATATAGTATTCCTTAAGTCAACGGTTTTTGGAGACGCCCAATTTAGTGACCTTAATTAAATTAGTAATTTAGTAATAATGTCTAGAGAAAAAATAACTTATTTAATAAATTGGGGATTAATTTCATTAATATTGTGTAGAGATCAGTGATGACGGGATGTAATTCGAGAAGGAACTTTTCTCAAGAGAGGCATACAACCCCCTCAAAATATTGAACAATTTAATCCTTATCAATTACCTTTATTTAATACAGTAATTTTATTGTCTTCCGGGGTTTTAATTACTTGATGTCATTATTCAATTTGAAATAAAAATTGAAAAAAGGGGGAAAATTAGGTTATTAATAATAACTATATATTGGGATTTTTATTTACCTGTATTTAAATATTCTAATAAAAGGGCGCTTCATTTATATTTAATTATTTAGAGATTCAATTTTTTAACAATTGGAATTATTTCTTTAGTTTTTGATGTAGAAATTACATTAATTTTGCCAAGTTATTTAAATTAATGTTAATAGCCACAGGCTAACAAAATTGGAAAATTTTTTTGGTGCTGAAATGTCAAAGCTGTTTCTGATAGGTTATTTCATGCTAAACACGAATCCGTAAATGAAAAGTTTCTATCAGCTCTAGTTTTTGAGAAAAACGGGTTTAAAATGTAAACTATAATCCCCAAAAATCATCTTTCTTATATTATGATCTCAAAGTCATTTTTAATCCATTTTTGAGTTGCAAAAATTAATTTTGGAATAATTTGAGTGCGTACCTCCAGCGATGAAATGAAAGGTCATATAATATTTTTTTGGGCTTAAACTAAATTTTAAACTTTAGTCTATCCCTGAAAATTAATTTCCAGCACCTTAACCTCAAAGTCATTAGTAATAAATTGTTTCTATGGCCTTTTGTTTCGTTGTTAGAGGTACACGCTCAAACTTTTCCAAAATTAATTTTTGCGACTCAAAAATGTAATACAAATGACTTTGAGGTCATGATGCGAGAAAGCTGCTTTTTGGAGATTGTAGTAAAAACATTAAGCCCAAGTTGAAGGTTTTATGGCCATTTGTTTCAGTGCTAGAGGTACTCAAAATTTGCCAAAAATGCGATTTTTTGACACTTTAAACTTATTTTTCTCAAAAACTAGAGGTGATAAGAACTTCGTTTACGGATTTGTGTTCTGCATGAAAAAACTTATCAGAAACAGCTTTGACATTTTCCGCACCAAAATCAGTGTTGACCTGTTATAGTAATTATTAGTGAAATTACAGTAGGTTCTCCCAAAGTGTGTACCTCCTCAAATGGACAATATTTCTTAAATGGACGGTTTTTGGAGACGCCCAATTTTCTCTATAAGTGTACCGTAGTTCCATGCGAACACTTAGAAGAAGCTTAAAAATTTCTGAACATACACCTGAGGAGTATATTAGTTAAACTATATATTTTTTTATTTGCATATATTTGAATTAAGATTTATCTTGTTCCAGGTGATAATCGACATTGAATGGGGTGCATTTGGAGACAATGGTGTCCTTGACTTTATTAAGACTGATTTTGATCGAGAGAATGATGCAAATTCACTTATTGTTAATTCGTTTACGTAAGTAAAAAATATATTAATTATTAATTATTCTTATCATAGGTGAAAAATTTAACGATTTAGAATATTTAGGGACAGTTTCATCAACTTTGGTTAAAAGTTAATCATCGATTAAAGCCAATTTATAACCGCTCATGATTGCTCGGTTAGGGATATAATCGCTAATTAACTTTTAACCGGAGTTAGGCATTACAGAAAATGCTCTTTTATAACTGTTTTAATTGTTCTTATATAAATATTAAATGATTTGTTTAAAAATCCAATTTAAAATTTTATCAATTACAATTAAATTTATTTTTTTGCATTAGATTTGAAAAGTACATCAGTGGAAAATATCTGGGAGAAATAGTGAGAGTAATTTTGGCGAAATTAACAAAGGAAGGACTCCTTTTTGTAAATAATTCTTCAGGCGCTCTTTTAACTCCCGGAAATCTCACAAGTGACCTTGTTTCTCACATAGAACAGTACGTGATTTTTTTTTTGCAGAAAAAAATATATAAAATGTTTCGTTATATCTTTATATGTTTATATATGAAAAATTATATTTTTTGTAGAGATACATTGGATGGTGGTTACAACAATACAAGAGAAGTTCTTGAAAAATTTGGAATTATACCAGATCAGGATGATTTAATTGCAGTCCAGTATGTATGTGAAGTCGCTTCAAATCGAGCAGCTCTTCTTGTCTCAGCGTGTTAGTATAAATATTATTCATACACTGAGAAAAGTTAAACACAGATTTCGTACTAAACACACGTTCAGATAGTGTACATAACCTTTAGAGCAACATCGGTTCTAAATTGTATCGCAGCTGCGCTTTTTGGTGGACAGATACTGTACTAAATCGTTTGTCCCACAAGTTAGGTCAGAATCTGTACTCAATTGGCGCTGCTGCTGTTCGATTTTAGTACTGCGTCTGCACATGATTGAGGTACAATATTTGACCCTCAAAAAATGCAGATATTGCGTTAAACTTCTCTCAGTGTATATATATACACTGAGAAAATTATAGACGTTGCGTTATTAATGGTAGAGCGATGCCACTTTCTTCTAGTGCAAAATCTAAGCCATTTTGGGCCAAACGAATATAGGAATTCTTATTAGGAATCAAAGTAGAAAGATGATCGCTATTCCTTAGCCAGAATTAGCACCAGCAAGTTAAGACTCTTGACTAAAAAAAAGGACAAGTTCGTCCAAAATGAAATCGTGAAATTTGCCTGTATTTAACGCAAAAGTTGAACATTGAACAATCAGAAAATATCTTTTGATATTCTTGGGCAATGCTGGTTTCTGGTATACCAGGCTTCTGAGGAGAATAAATTTTACAAAAATGAACAAAAAATCGGCAAATAGTGTATGAATTGTACTCATTTAGAGTTTTAAAATCCGTTGAGAAAATCCTCATTAAATTCACTTAAGAGTGTCGAACGGACTCTGAAATTCTTTGGCAAATAGAGACATTCAATTATCCCCCTATAAAAACGGCACTGAACGTGAAAATATGATAATCATTGATTTTAATATACTTTTTTCTCGAAACACGGACACTTTTTACAAAATCGGCCAATGTACCAAGGACCTATATCTTATAAATTTCCTAAATCCGAAAGATTGTGCGAATTCATGCGAAAATGCTATTGCAAAATAAAAAATAGGAAAGTAATATAATGACAGGATCATTACGTCCTGTCGCCGTCAGATGGCAGAAGCATGCAGGGAGCACAAAGTCGTAACTGTTATTATATTATTTTCCTACTTTTCGTTTTGCAATTGCGTTTTTGTATGGATTCGCACAATATTTCGGATTTAGAAAATTTATAAAATAAGGATCCTTGGTTCGTAATAAAATCTGCATCAGTTTTTCACACTGATCGCTATATATAACTCGATTACTTGACTATTATCAAATACAAAAATTATTGGTTCAAATACAATTTATTTAATTCAAATAACAGTTATTTGATTCAAGTAAATATTTATTTAATAATAGTTAAGTAATCGAGTATTTGAATCAAATAAATTTTTTTTTCCGTGTACTTTACGAATAGGCTTGTCCTTTTAACTTTTTAAATAAATAGATAATTTCTCATCAAATAAATTTTCTAAATAGAATATATTATTTACAGGTATATCGGTTTTACTTGAAAGAATAGACAAAGAAGAAGTAACGATAGCCGTTGATGGTTCATTGTACAAACATCATCCCAGACTTAAGGCCTGGATGAATCGTTATATTCAATTATTGGCACCTGGACGAAAGGTACAAATTTATTATTATCAAATGCAAAATTTTGTTTTATTTTTTTGAAATAATTTTATACTGAAAATGTTTTTAAAAACAGTTGAAGAAAAAATGCAACTAAAAACGCGTGTTCCATCTGTCCTTAATGTATTAAATTTTTCCTTTATTTCTGCTACAGTTCAACTTGATGAGCGTGGAGGATGGAAGTGGCAAGGGTGCTGCTATTGTGGCTTCAATTGCTCAAAAATTAAAAAAGCGATTTGAATAATGAAAGAGAGAAATAAAACTTCAAGATAGCGCTTTAGAAACACTTGTACAATCAAAAGTGAGCAATCTGTTGATATGACACAGAATTTTCTAGCCTTTCAGGTTATGTTAGACCACCTTGAATTTTTCCATTGTATTCCGATGTGAAAATTTATAGCTGTTCAACATGACCTTAAGGTTCAAAAGAAAAGCAGTGCTTAAGAAAAATTATTATTACTTTTTTTTTCTTTCACCGTGATATCGTTTATCCATCTCAGGCATCATGTAATTATATATAAAGTTAATTTTTAGGTATTTTGTAAGTTTACTTATATATATATGCTAGATACATATATGTGCCATTCCATGAGTTTTTTTTAGCACTATTCGGAGTAACCTTTCCAAATTAAATGAAAAAATTTTTTTTTAATAATATTTATTAATATAAAGGTCCAAAATAATCACTTTTTAAGTAAAAATAATTGTTTATTTAAAAAATACAACAATAAATAATGAAAAAAAATTCACTTTTTTTCTGCAACATCAAATAAATTGGTTTAAAGATCAAAATTTTCCTTATTATACAAGCTTTAATACCGCACAAAAAAAATAGAGTATTTCAAAATAGTTAACTCACAATTTATTAAACAATGTTTGTTTTCTTTTTTGTATTTTATTTATTGTGAAACGTCTGCTATAATTGCGCGCGACGTTCGGAAGTTGTCGCTCTCGTTCTTGAGCAGAAGCTCATTACACTAGCGTAGTAAAAAGCATGTTGTGCGAAAAGTGAGGTTATGTTATTAAACGAAACGTAAACATTTCTAGTTATTACATTGAATGGTTTTTAATTATCTACTTTGCAGTAAAAAATCATAGAAAACATTTTTGAAGGATGAAAAACCTCACTTTTCACACAACATGTTTTTTTACTACGCTAGTGTAATGAGCTTCTGCTCAATGACGAGAGCGACAACTACCGAACGTCGCGCGCAGCGTTAGCAGACGTTTCACAGTAAATAAAATACAAAAAAGTAAACAAACATTGTTTAAAAAATTGTGAGTTAACTATTTTGAAATACTCTATTTTTCTTGTGCGGTATTAAAGTTTGAAAAATAAGGAAAATTTTGATATTTAAACCAATTTATTTGGTGTTGCAGAAAAAAAGTGAATTTTTTTTTCATTATTTATTGTTGCATTTTTTAAATAAATAAAATTGTTTTTACTTAAAAAGTGATTATTTTGGACCTTTATATTAATAAATATTATTAAAAACAAATGTTTCATTTAATTTGGAAAGGTTACTCCGAATAGTGCTAAAAAAACTCATGGAATGGCAGATATATATGCTTATTGTTTAATAGATCTCACAATCTCATTGACAACATGCGTGTTATTTTTTTTTTTTAATTTCATATTTCACTTATATTTTTTTTAATGTTTATTGTTTCCAACCATAAATATTTGTTTATCATTTTTCACGTGTACGTAACTGAACATTCCATGACGATAGATTGTTTCAAAATTGTAAATCTCTTTTTAAAAGAGAGCATTACAATAAATATAATTAAGAAATGCATATCAGGTTTTTCACTACTGCTGTTTTCAAGCACAATGTAATATTTAAAATTGTCTAAAAACACATTCCGTAATGAATATATGTGACGCGCCACAAGAAAAGAATAGAGGCAAAAATTTTTAGGTTATGTTTTGTGATAGTTTTATTTTGATTAAACGTTCATTTTTAATTATGTGAAATCAAAATCAGTTTTTAATGAATATTTTTAATCTAATGAAGACTTAAACATGAGTGGTTTATAAGGGTTAATCCTTTTAGTGTATTTTTAAAAATCACAAACATAACCTAAAATTTCTTCCCTTTATGGTATCTTTTCTCGTGGGGCGTCATGTCTTGTATATTTTTGACATTACTCATTGCTGTAGAAAAATACATTTTTTTTTTTAAGAAAAGAAGTATATTTTTTTAAAAGTGTATTTTGAAATATTATTTTACATGATAAAATAATATTTTCATTATTAGAAAAATAATAATCATTCTATTTTATAAAAAAAAAGTTTGTGAGGTAATTACATAAGTATACGACTGTAATGAATTTTTAAGAATATTTTATAATTTATTCATTTCATCATTTTATAGATATTAAAATTTTGAAAATGAATTCTAGAAATTTAAAACGAAATTATTTAGAATTCAAATATATAGTAATATATAGTATTTCTTTTTTAATGGGTAAAAAGCAATTTAATATCTCAATTTGTCACTGTTATGCACTGTATTATAAGTACACACAGTCTTGTTGAAATTACATATAAATATTGTGTTATATTTTCTGGAAAAAAAATATTGTAAATGAAAAATTATAATAGTATATATACTATAGGGAAATAAAAAAGTAGTTCCAAAAAATTTTTATCCTATTGCAAAATGTTAATGCAATGAAATAAAATTCGTTACTCATGAAAAATTTATCATTATATTGTTTATAATAAATATATATATATTGTTATTGTCAAATATTTTGTGTATAGGAATTTTAATTTCTAATAAAATTTATTTTCAACTCAGCGTTAAAATTTTTTTTCTTCTAATTTACCGCAATTGAAAAAACAACAAATTAATTTAATTTTCTTCACTTTGTTCTTCATCAAATTCATCATCATCAATACTTGCTTCCTGATATTGTTGATATTCAGCAATAAGATCATTTACATTTGACTCGGCTTCGGTGAATTCCAATTCATCCATTCCCTCACCTGTATACCAATGAAGAAATGCTTTTCTTCGAAACATAGCGGAAAATTGTTCGGAAATTCTTTTGAATAATTCCTGAATTGCCGTTGTATTGCCAATAAATGTTGATGACATTGTCAATCCTTTTGGTGGAATATCACAAACAGCTGTTTTCACATTATTTGGTATCCATTCAACAAAAAATGAACTATTTTTATTTTGTATATTCAACATTTGTTGATCAACATCCTTCATTGACATTTTACCACGAAAAACAGTGGCAACCGTTAAATAACGTCCATGTCTTGCATCACAAGCCGCCATCATATTTTTTGAATCAAACATCTGTTGTGTTAATTCCGCAACAGTTAGGGCACGATAATTTTGACTTCCACGCGCTGTTAGTGGCGCAAATCCTGGTACAAAAAAATGTAATCTTGGAAATGGAACCATATTCACAGCAAGTTTTCGAAGATCAGCATTCAATTGTCCAGGAAATCTGAGACAAGTGGTAATTCCTGACATTGTCAATGAAACAAGATGATTTAAATCGCCGTAAGTTGGTGTGGGAAGTTTTAAAGTACGAAAACAAATGTCATAAAGTGCTTCATTGTCAATGCAATATGTTTCATCGGTATTTTCAATAAGATGATGAACTGATAGTATTGCATTGTAGGGTTCAACAACAGTGTCAGATACTTTTGGCGATGGAACAACAGGATAGCTATTCATTATTCTATCGGGATATTCAGCACGAATTCTTGATATAAGAAGTGTTCCCAATCCCGAACCAGTGCCACCACCAAGCGAATGGGTCATTTGAAAACCTTGAAGACAATCACAATTTTCAGCTTCCTTTCTGACAATATCGAGTACAGAATCAACAAGTTCAGCGCCCTCGGTGTAGTGTCCCTTTGCCCAATTATTACCAGCACCCGAATGTCCAAAAATAAAATTGTCGGGCCGAAATATTTGTCCAAATGGACCTGAACGAACGGAATCCATTGTTCCTGGTTCGAGATCAACTAAAATTGATCGTGGAACATATAAATTATCAGATGCCTCATTATAGTAGACATTGATTCTCTCGAGTTGAAGATCAGTCTCACCGCAATAGATACCGTTTGCGTCAACTCCATGCTCGTCGGATATTACCTCCCAGAACTGAAAATTATATTCTTTTTGGTTTTTTTTTTATATTTTAAAAAAAAATCTTCGAGTTTTTTCGCATTTGGTAATTTTGTATAAAGGTTATGTGATTCTTGTGATTACGGGCTGAAAAAACTTGTACAAGAAAATGTACAAGTTCTTGTACATGTTCATTAATGAACTTCCCAGTAAAAAATAAAAGAATTGAGAGTAACCGAAAAGAATTGGTGGTAACTTAAGCTGAATTCGGTTTGCGAAAAAACCAAATTGAAACGTTACGGTGAATTATTTTTTTCTTCCCGTGAATTTTTTTCTCTTGAACATTTGAATTGACGTTTGTTTCTTTGAGTTTGCATTATAAATGAATAGAATAAATGTTTCGAAGTCTAAAAAAGTTGATTTGGAATAAGAAATATATAATTTTTTAAAAAGAAATAAAAGCGAAGTGTGATAGATTCACCGACAATTTTATCATGTGAGTAGTGTTCATATGATAAATTTACCATATGAATACTCACATGAACTACTCACATGGTAAAATTGTCTGAACTCAAAAATCCGTATAAAAAATCGCAGTTATGACCCAGAATATTAATATTTTATTTTAAAAATTTCATATTTGAGGAAAATTCAATATGGCTACCATATGATTTTAGTCCTTTCCTCAAATATGCAATTTTTTAAAAATAAATTTTTTAAAATAAAATATTAATATTCTGGATCATAACGGATTTTTGAGTTCTCTGCAAAATTTTAGCTCAATGTATCAAATATTGAGGCGCATGATTTTTCCCAAAAATTAAAAAGGTCGAAAATTTAATTGATCGAGATATTTTATTTGAACGAAATTCTAAATGATCGATATTTAAAATGGTCAACATTTTATTTGATCGATATTTTATTTATTCGAAATTCTAAATGATCGATATTAAAAATGGCCGATATTTTATTAAGTCAATATTTTATTTTATATTTATTATATCGACTAAATAAAATGGCGACTTTCATAACTGTCGTTCTTTTAGAATTTCGACCAAATAAAATATCGACTTAAAGTAATTCGATCAATTAAAATTTCGAACTTTTTAATTTTTGGGAAAAATCATGCGCCTCCAAATATTTTGCGAGAAAACCTGCGGAAAATATTTACATGTGAAATCACAACAATCACATTACCTTAAACATGAAATTTGTAAAAAAAAATAATTTTTATACCAAATATTTCTTTACCAATAAAACAAACAAACGTATATAAAAATTTTATTTTAATAGAAAATAAAAAGTAATGTCATGCAAATAAAATAGAAAAAATGTTCAATTATAAATTTTTTATTGTTATCAATAACATAAATTGATGGATGGAAAAAATAGATAAGATAATTTTAATCTGATATTTTGTTTTTTATTTTTATTGAATTATGCAATATATATATTGTAATGATAATCATTGAATGATTTACAGATTCATAATATTAAATTCTATATAATAACAATTCATTATACATGAAGCAATAATTCAACGAAAATCTTATTTACTTTTATTATGGTTTATATGACCTATTTATCAACTTTTTAATCAAAAGAACAATATATTTAATAAGATTTCTAATTTAAAGAATATTTTGTTAAAAAAATAAAAAAAAATTAAAATTTTAAATTTTCATAACTTTTAAAAATAATATTTTAATAAAAAAATTTAATAATATTTTCATACGCTTTTAAAAATAATTATTAATATTAAAATACAATTATTGTGATAACAATAAATTTGAACTTTAAAATTAAAATATAGTAGAAAAAATTATATACTTTTAGATATTTAATTGTTAGAAATTAGTAAAAAAAAAAAATAATTTAGAATCAATAAAATTATAAAACAATAATCCTGAGTTAGGAAATAATTATTTATTGTCTGTATTTTTCATACCTTTGCACCTATTTGATTGCCACACTGGCCAGTTTGTATGTGAACAATTTCACGCATTTTTAAATAAATTCGAATTTTTCTTGAAAATATAGAATAATTTTTAGAAAAGTGGTATTTTGAAAAATTTTGCCAGAAAAGAAGAATTTTTTTTTTACAAATTAACAGAGATTTGGAAATGTTGACAGAAAAGGTGAACCAAAAATTTTTTTTCGAAATGTCACTGATAAAGAAGAGACAATTGACAGTTTATTTATTTTTCAATTACATAATTGTTAACCTTTATATCGAGTTTTAAAAAATTTTAACCACATTATAAAAATTCTACCTATTAAAATGTAAATTAAGAATATAATAATAAAATTAAATTATATGTATAATAAAAAGGTAAAATTATTACTTTCATATGATTTATAAACGAATTGTTTAATTTCAATCAAATTTGTATAAGTATAAAAAGTCAGAATCATTAGAATAATAATTATTTAATGATAATAATAATAATAATAATTATTTTATTGAATTAAAAAATTTTTTCTTGAAATAAATTAATATTAATAATAATATTAATAATTAATAGTTAATAATATACCTATTAAAATTATTTAATTAAAAATTAAAACAATTAAAATAATATTAAAGTAATAATCAAATACAATAGTAAAATAATAAATTTTTATCACAATTTACTTTTATTATTCTGTTTTAACATCCTGAAAGAATTTTTTTTACAAATACTTCTAATCAGTTTATATAATAGAAATAATTTTAAAAATAGTTTTATAATAAAACATGTTTAATAAATATTGTAATTCATAATTTATTTTTAATTAAAATTTTTTATTTATTTCATAATTTAATTATTTAACTCTTTACAAAAACAAGTTTAAAAGTCTGTTAGAAAAAAGTAAAGTGAGAAAAAAAAACAATAGTTAAAGAATTTCGTTTACTTTGGTTTGATTATTCTTGCTCCAATTTGATAAAAAAAAAAACAAACAGGTTATTGCGCATATTTTATAAAAAGCATTAATTTGTAATCTGTTTAATTAAAAATTGTAATTAGTTAAAATACATTACAAATTTATTTGTATTAACGTTACTCTTTTTGTCATCCTGTAAGCATTAAACTTGTATCAAATACATGAAAATGTGTAAAACAAATTAAAAGTAATATCATTTTTAAGAATCGTAATCTTAAAGTATTTTTTAATTTAAATCTTTTTATAATAACTAGCAACGTAGTCGGCCGCTTGCGGACTACAAAGATGCTAGTTTTAATATAATAGAAGATTTGTGAAAAATTTTAAAATAACGATAACTTTTAAAAAAATAAATATTTTTTGATGGGATTTGAAAGTGGGATGCATTTTACATGTGAATTACTGAAAAATAACCAAAAGTTGCAATGTTTGCAAAAAAATATTTTTTGCAAAAAGTTGCAAAAGAAAACTCAGATTTTTTTCTAATTCATGTGTTTAATTTATGTTTAAATTTTAATTTTGAATCATATCTGTACAAAAATTGTTGAAAAAGAATGTGAAAAACGGAAATTCTTGGCCCAGTGACGTCACGAAGACGACAAAACAAACATTTTAATATAATAAGAAGATTTGTGAAAAATTTTAAAATAACGATAACTTTTAAAAAAATAAATATTTTTTGATGGGATTTGAAAGTGGGGTGCATTTTACATGTGAATTACTGAAAAATAACAAAAAGTTGCAATATTTTCAAAAAAATATTTTTTGCAAAAAGTTGCAAAAAAAAAATTTAGATTTTTTTCTAATTCATGTGTTTAATTTATGTTTAAATTTTAATTTTGAATCATATCTGTACAAAAATTGTTGAAAAAGAATGTGAAAAACGGAATTTCTTGGCCCAGTGACGTCATGAAGACGACAAAACAAACATTTTAATATAATAGAAGATTATTAATTTGGTGAAAAAATTTAATTAATTAAATTACATTAATGTTTGTTTTCAATTAAATGAAAATCAATTGATTGTTTTAATAAATTTTGTCATTTTGGAACAGGAAAAAAAATATTTAAATTTTAAAAAATACACTTATATAGATTAAAAAAAAGTTACATACCGTCAAATTCTGACAATTTAAATTTTGAGCATGATGATCTTATGCTTCAAAAATTGGTACGAGTTACGTATATTTTATTTCTTGTTCAAAACTGAAAATATTTATTAAAATAATTATTGATTTGGACAAATAGTTAAGTTAATAAATTTTATTTAAAAAAAATTTCAATGTAGAATGAGAATTGATAGAATTGACAAAAAAATCAATTTTATTTAAGAAAAATCAAACATTTGAAGACGTTTCCTTTTGATAAAAGCGACAATGTAAATCTAATCGACACAAGAAAGATAACCGAGACATCCTCAATTTATATCAGTGTTTCTGAGGAACTTGGTCAGTAGGTTGACAAAGTATATCATAACAGTAATAAAATGTTTGCAAAAAATATTATTTTAATTGTTCTATTAGGCATTCTTCATGTAAGTTATGGTAAGAGATTCGAAATTCATCAAGATTTTTATCGATAAATTTTCTTCAGAATATTTAGAAAAAAAAAGAATATATGTAAAATAAATAAATTAATTAAATAAAAAGTTATTTAAATCAAATAAAAATTTATTTGTATCAAATAAATATTTATTCGGCTGTGAGACAAATATATCATTTCTCTGGGTGTACGAACACATTTGGAATCGTCATTAACCCCAAAAAAAATTAATGACACGACATAAATCTAATTTTTTTTTTAGTCTTTTTGTTACAAATGATTTTTTATATTGTGAAAATTAAAATATTTAATTTAAAAATTAAGAAGAAGCATTAAAACATATATCTTTAGGAAAATCTGGATTTGGTTCCGGTGAACAAGAATGGGGTTACGTGAATGTTAGGCCAGATGCAGAAATGTTTTGGTGGCTTTATTATACAACTGCGAATGTATCGAATTATTTTGAAAAACCATTAGTAATTTGGTTACAAGGTGGTCCAGGGGCATCGTCAACAGGTTATGGGAATTTTGAAGAAATCGGTCCACTCGATCTTAAATTAGCCTACAGAAATTATACTTGGGTAACAATTTTTTTATTTTTATTTATTTTTTTATTATAACAGCAATTATTTTTATTTATTTTACGGAAATAATCGTTAAATTAAAATATTAATGGACTACCAAATATTTTTTTACACACTAATTTAAAAGTATTAAATTTTGTACTGAAAATACCAAATTGATACAAATTTTTATATCAATTTGATATTTTTGATATCAATTTGATACTTTTAAATTAGTGTGTTTTCAAAAATGGATATCTAAAATTTGTCATTACTTTTTATTTCTAATACACTTTTTTTTGACGTGACAATGTCAAACTCTGAGGTCTAGGGAGCCAGTCAGAAAAATTGGCGTTCATATCGCCGTCGATTTCTCGAAAACTATAAGTCATATTTTCAAGATTTTTGTGTTATTTAATTACTTTCGATCTAATCTCGATGCCAAACTTATTTTTGGCAAATATTTGGAAATGAAATTTTTTATAGTTTTCTATGTTACCGACCGGTTAAAGATTTAACATGTTAGTATACAGCGCCACTGCTGACAGTATCCACTATACCTATATATATGTATAATAGTCAAAATAAACATGGCTGCCAAAGCTGTCACTTTGTTTTGTTTTCGTATCGTTATTCGAGTCATAGTATTGCCAATTGCTGAAATTTTTCACCGGAATAATATCAAAACATAACCTCAATCGTAGATGTATTCTGTTCAAGAATTATTATAATTAACTGGTCCACCACAATTCTTGAACAGAGTAAATCCATAATTGAGGGGCCGGAAACAATAACAACCAGTACGCTCGGCCGGTCGCTTTGAAGCCAATCAACACCTCAAAATTGAAACTCAAAATTCGGATTTTTCAGAAGCACTACTTTATAGAAGATAAAAAAACATATCTTTTTTCTCTTAGAAACTTTTTTTTAAATCCAATATTTTTGATAATAAAAGCAAAAAGCCCAAAAAAAATTTTATCAAATGTAATGAAATTTTAAAATGTAAACGATTATTTTTTTCACAAATAGTATAATAAATTTGTTTACAACTTGGTATACATACTAAATTAGGTCTAATAAAGCCATTAAAACATTAGAAAAGGCAAAAAAAATTATTGTTTTATTATTTTTAATTAAAAATTGAAAGAGGTCGATATTCACATTTTCTAACTTTTGACGATAAAATGTCTGCAGGGAATTTCAAAACTGTAAGAACTTCTCTTATAATATTTATATTATTTATATTTATTTATATTATATTTATAATATGCGTATTTTAAATATTTACAAAATATCAAGTATGAATTATAAATGTTACTAATATTAATATTGTTAACAATTCTAATACTAATGTACATACATATAAGATACTGATCACAAAAAATAAACATAACTTTCTTCTTATTTCACTAATTTCTTATTATTCGAGCCGAAATAATTTCACATACTTCAAGAAAGAGTCTCCAGCGGGTTAAGTGAACGCGATGCGGGCTATCCGCTTTTTCTTGAAAATTAATTTTTTTAAAAACTATAACAGGAATTGATTTGGAATTTTGCAGAAAACTTCCTGAAATAGTAGTGAATAAATATTATAAGAGAAGTTCTTACAGTTTTGAAATTCCCTGCAGACATTTTATCGTCAAAAGTTAGAAAATGTGAATATCGACCTCTTTCAATTTTTAATTAAAAATAATAAAACAATAATTTTTTTTGCCTTTTCTAATGTTTTAATGGCGTTATTAGACCTAATTTAGTATGTATACCAAGTTGTAAACAAATTTATTACTATTTGTGAAAGAAATGATCGTTTATATTTCAAAATTTAATTAAATTTGAGAAAATTTTTTTTTGGGTTTTTTGCTTTTATTATCAAAAATATTGGATTTAGAAAAAAATTTCTGAGAGAAAAAAGATGCATTTTTTATCTTCTATAAAGTGAAGCTTTTGAAGAATCCGAATTTTGAGTTTCAATTTTTTCACCTTTTTGACGTGTTGACTGGCTTCAAAGCGACCGGCCGAGCGTACTGGTTGTTATTGTTTCCAGCCCCTCAATTGAGGTTATGTTTTGATATTATTTCGGTGCAAAATTTCAGCAATTGGCAATAATGTGGCATTTCGTATTGAATATTTTTAAATTTAATTGTTTGGAAATTATTGTCAGTTTATTCTAATTTTATGCACTTAAAAAAAATTTATTTGATTCAAATAATCGGTTACTTGAACATTATCGAATAAATATTTATTTGTATCAAATATAATTATTATTTGAGTCAATGAAAAGGTATTTGTTTCAGGGTACAAAAATTATTGGTACAAGTACAATTTATTTAATTTAAATAAAAATTATTTGGCTCAAGTAAATATTTATTTGATAATAGTCAAGCAACCGATTATTTGAATCAAATAAATTTTTTTCAGTGTGTTTATATAAAAAATAAATACTAAATAATAATCTTATAAAATATATTTTAATTAATTAAAAAAGACGTTGTCACGATCAAAATTCTCCGTCCGTGTAATAAATACAGATCCCCGCTTCAATTATTCAAGAAACTTCAGTTTTGGAATTATTTTTCTTTGTAATATAAATAATAATTTCTAACATTTTAATAATATATAATTATTATGAATTAATTTAACCCTTAACTGGCACCATGGGTCCAGTAGACCCAAGCATTTTTTTGAGATCAAATTAACTGAATTTGTAGCTTTTGAATATTTTTTATATTTTAATATATTAGTTTGACATATTCTTAGTAATTTTGTAAGTTTTTTGATACAACTAATTCGATACAAAAGAATAAATTAGCTTTAAACATTAATAATTATAAATTTTTAATTTTAACCTAAAAAGTTACATTTTATTCTAAATAAATACCTTTTTTGCAAGTCCTGCTGTTGTGGTAATTTTTTCCTTAAAGTACATCATAACCTTAAATTTTTAAGTCATAATATTAAAATTTAAATAAGTCATGAATTTTTAAGTAAAAACACGCAATGTTTCGTTTTTATTTTTCAAAATTGTTTTAACTAACTTAAAATAAATTAATCCTTGTAAAACTAATTATATATTTTAAAAAAACACATCATAAGCTACCTCAGATTACATTTTTGTGCAAAAATATTTAATACCGGCTGCAAAATACACGTTTGAATACGTCGGGTCCAGCAGACCCGTTGTGCCATTTACGTTCGAACCCGGAATTGTGTCAGTTAAGGACAAGTCAAAGTCGATGAGATTTTCCCATTGAAACTCTATGTAAAAATTGCATCGACTTTGACCTACCCTTAAGGGTTAAATGTAAATATTTCTTTTTATAAATAAAATAGACCAAAATATTAATAACAATTTTTTTTACTAGGTGAAAGATTATAATGTATTGTTTATTGACAATCCAGTTGGAACGGGTTTCAGTTATACAACAACAAAAGAAGCACTCACACGAACAAACAAGCAAATTGCACAGGATCTTTTAGTTTGTATTAAAAAGTTTTTACAAAAATGTCCTCATTTTGCTAATGTATCCACTTACATTACTGCCGAGTCATATGGCGGAAAAATGGCAGCTGAATTTGCATATTTATGGTACCAGGTAACAATAATTACACGTTTTTTAATTTTTTTTCAATTAAAAATTTCATCTCTTAAGAGTATGCGTCCAAGTTGTGAAATGTTAACGAACATGAAAATGTAAACGACTCATGCTTGAACTACAAATATTTTATTCGATGATCAAATATATTATCAAAATGATCCTAAAAAACCATAAATACGAATATATTTGAACCGCTGGCGACCAAAAGGGCTTACGCGAGGTTTTCATTGGCCCCTGGAATAGCTAGAAACTCGATGAACGAGGGGCCAACGAAAGTCACGCGTAAGCCATTTTCGTCGCCGGCGGTTCATTTCATAAAATTCAATAATTTTTATAAAAATTGTCTACCATATTAAATTATAAAACTTTGATTTTGGATTTGTAATCAGCGATCTTAAAAACCGCCAAGTAACAAGTTCCAAAAAATTTCAATCACTTTTTAGAAAATTTGTCCGCCATATTGGATCCAACATTTTGAATTTTTTTAATTCAACCTAAGATTTGTAATTGCAGCGAACCCGAAAACCCTTGAGTAACAAGTTTCAAGCGAATCTGACCATTTTTCAAAATTTGTCAGCCATTTTTCAAAATTTGTCAGCCATTTTTGATTCGCCATTTTAAATTTTTTTAAAAACCAATTCTACCTATTGTTTAAAATAATCCTAACTGCATTTTGCAATTTACTATTTTTTTCATATTGAAGTAACCATTTTTAATTATACATATAATTAAAAATTTTCATTTATTTAATTTTATAAAACTTCCCAGATAGCACGTAATCTTGCAGCAACCTTGCGGCAAACTTGCCGCGCAATATTGCCAACCTTGCGCGGCAATATTGCCACAAGGTTGCTGCAAGCTTAAAATGTCCCACCTGACACAAGCTTGCATGGTAAGCTTGCGGCAAGATAGTCGTGCAAGGTTACTACAAGATTGTTCAATAAGTTTATCGCAATATTGCTTGGTAAGCTTGTGGCAAGGTTGCTTGGCAATTTTATGGCAAGCTTGGAGCAAGCTTGCGGAATTTGAAAAAAAAAAATTTTTTGGAGGGAAGAAATTTATTTCTGTATATACATTGAGCACCAGTTTCTGGGAGGTCAAAAAAATTTATTGCGCAGCCGTAAGTGCTTGTGATTGCAAGTGCGCATAGTGCTCATTTTCGTAAACCTAAAAAATTTTTTTGTTAATATTCCACAAGCTTGCGCCAAGCTTGCCATAAGATTGCCAAGCAACCTTGCCACAAGCTTACCGAGCAATATTGCGATAATCTTATTGAACAATCTTGCAGTAACCTTGCACGGCAATTTTTCCGCAAGCTTACCATGCAAGTTTGGGTCAGGTGGGACATTTTAAGCTTGCAGCAACCTTGCGGCAATATTGCCGTGCAAGGTTGGCAATATTGCGCGGCAAGCTTTGCGTAAGGTTGCTGCAAGATTACGTGCTATCTGGGTTATAAGGTCGGTGAAGTTCACATCCATTACGATCATCGAAATTTTAAAAACCAAGATACTGCATGAACACAACAAAAAAATACAAAAAACTTCAAAAAAACATTATACTTAACAAAAAAAATTAAGCTCAACCCCAAATTCCTTAAAAAAACAACCCTAGTATAAAACACTACATTGCCATTATTCAAAAAGATTGAAATTGCATTACACACACAATTTTATTGCAAAATTCTAGCATAAAATAAAACTAAAGTGTAGAAAAAAATTGACACCCTAATACAAATTTAGAAAAAACCCGTAATTGTCTGTGTAAAGAATATTGCATTTTTCAGAAGTTTTTCTTATCTTGGGAGTGGCCATAGGAGTGTTTCCCCTACTTGTATCAGGCTGTCAATTTTTTTCTACACTTTTGGGTATATTTTATGCAAGAATTTGCAATGAAATCGTTTGCCTAAGAAAAATTGAATTTTTTGGGAATTTAGAGATTTCCTTTATGCTGGTAATAGGGGTCTTCCTCTACCTGTATCGGGCTGTCATTTTTTTTCTACACTTTTGGGTGTATTTTGGGCAAATATTTACAATGAAATAGTCTGCCTAAGAAAAATTGAATTTTTTGGGAATTTAGAGTTTCCCTTTATGCTAGTAACACTATAGTTTACAGCAATTTTGATCCACAACATTTTTCTCTTATTTCCCATGTAAAATGACCTCCTGAATCCGAAATTTCACCGAAACATTACAAACAGCGTATCATTTATATTTTAAAATTTTGCCGGAGAATCTTGACAAATCCTGGACGCCAAGTGTTTTGTGCAACACTTGTAAATCCCTCAACTAATGAACTCTGCGAAAAACTAGATTTTCGTTTGCTTTTGGCAGATTTTGTATTCAGGTTGCAAACTGTCACGGTAGCACTATTAGAATATTGTTAACAGTTGTGACTGTGTAAACAAAATCATTAAGTATTCACGGGAAGAAGATTTTTAGTGAATCTCACTATCACATATTAATTAAGTGAAATTTACTTCACGTCTTAAAAGTAACACAATTCATAGATCTCAGATTTACTATTCGTTAAGTACATCTAACAAACTTCTAGTTAACTAAACCATTTGATTAGTAAGTCAAAGAGTGACAAAAATTTTTTGTAATTGTCACTCAGCTTGTATAGTGACATCCACTAAAATCTTTTCTAAGTGACTGTAAAGGTAAAAAAGATTATAATGTAACGTAGAAACGAAAATACTGAAAATATGCGAAAAAATCAAATTTCCACATTTTTACTAAAACGCTTATAACTTTCATATTTTTTAACCGAATTTGTTGAATGACCACTCATTTTCATCGTAATAGATTAGACTTTAATGACTAATAATTAATCAGGTCATAAAAAAATTTATTTTAGCGCAATCAATAGTAGAATCCAGCATTTATTACAAATTTTTGTAAATTTGAAGCAAAATTTTCGATATATTCATTAGTATAGTTTAAGTAGATGATCGGATTAAAAAATATTGTACAGATGGTTGATCAGAAATGTAATTACCTTCAATTTAAGACAAAAAAAATTAAAATCCGTCCACTGAGACCAAAGATATTTACATTTTTGTGAAAAAAAATTTATTGAAAACGAAAAATTTGAAAAAACAAGAATATCTTAAAAACTGTTCTACTTTTTTAAATTTGGACTTCATTTTCGGATCCAGGAGGTCATTTTACATGAAAAATAAGAGAAAAATGTTGTGGATCAAAATTGCTGTAAACTAGTGTTACTAGCATAAAGGAAATCTCTAAATTCCCAAAAAATTCAATTTTTCTTAGGCAGACTATTTCATTGTAAATATTTGCCCAAAATACACCCAAAAGAGTAGAAAAAAATTGACAGCCCGATACAAGTATTCACTATCATTTTTAACAATACTTAAAATTGCAATATTAATAAATAATTAAATGATAAATAGCAAAATTTTAAATTTTTTAAAAAATACTGATAAAACATATTTAAAATATAATTATTCGTTAATTTCAGGCTCAAGAGAAAGGAGAAATTGACAGTAATTTGAAAGGTGTTGGACTTGGAGATTCTTGGATTTCTCCAATTGATTCAGTTATGACTTGGGCACCATTTTTATTGGAGACCGTAATTTGAGTTTTTATTATTACTATCGTACAATTCTTCAGCTTTATATTTTAAATATACTTCATACGTCGTTTAATTTTTTTTAATATATTGCATATGTCGTAATTTATAATAAATAAAAATTAAACACTATTTTTAGGGTATGGTTGACACAGAAGGTTACCAACAAATTATGAAATCTGCAAATAAAACAAAAATTGCTGTAGAAAAAGGACAATGGAAATTAGCAACTCAACTATGGGGTGTTACCGAACAAGTTATTCTAGACATGACAAATAATATTGACTTTTATAATATTTTGTATAAGTCTACAAGTCGAGGCTATATAAAATCAAAAATCTTGAGCAACAATGTTAATGGTATGAAAATAATTTAAAAAATCATCTAGAAAAAAAATAATTATTTACAATCAAGTCAAATAAGTTTTTCATTAATAACAACAGTTATTGGTTAATATTTTCAAAATCTACAAAAGCAAATTTAATTTTACAAGAAAATGAAGAATTTTATTCAATTTCGTCAAAAAATTTTTTTAGATAATTATAGCTTTGAAGATACGTTTAGTGATGAAGCTCTTGAAAAATTAATGAACTCCAAGGTGAAAAGGGTACTTACATTAAATTCTACATGGGGTAAACAAGGCTCTGCAGTTTTTTCTGCCCTTTCTGGAGATTTTATGAAACCTGCAATAGATATAGGTAATTTATTATTGAATTAATATTTGCCAGAATTTCTTTTTAAATGAATTTTTACTTTACAAAATTTTTAGGTTTTAAAATTTTTGTTTCATAGAATTTTTATTTTACATTATTTCTATTTACCCAAAATTTTATTTAAAAAATTCTAATTTAACCGAATATTAATTTAACAAAATTTTCCATCAACGGAATTTTAAGTGATTCGAATTTTTAAATATCAAAATTTCTAATTCACCGAATCTTTAATTATCCGAATTTTTATTTGATAGAATTCATAAAACGTTGAATTTCCATTTGTCCGAAATTGAAAATGTCTTAAATACAATCGATTTAAAGACTTTGGCGCTAATTTTAAAATTAACCAAGAAATAGAGAAAATTGTGATTAGTTAAATTTAAAATTCGCGCCAAAATCTTTCATTCGATTTTTATTAACGGTCATTTTCAATTTCGGAAAAATGAAAATTCGATGAATTGTGAATTGTGGCATTTTTAAAATTCGAATCACAATTCTATTGAATGAGAATTCTGCTAAATTAATATTCGGTGAAATTAAATTTTTTAAAATGAAATCAAACTTTTTCTTTTTTTCAGTGGAACTCCTTTTAAATGAGACTGACATTAAAGTTTTCGTCTACACTGGACAATTAGATCTAATTGTCGACACACCTGGTAACGAAATTCACTCAGAAAATATAATTAAATAACAATAATTACTATTATTAGCATTAGGTTCACAAAATATTTTTTTTCTAATTTTTAATTATAGGGACTCTTCTTTGGGTGGAAAAATTGCAGTGGGATAATGCTCACCATTGGAGAAAGGCTCCTAGAAAACCAGTAGTGGTAAATAACATCATTGAAGGTTATGTTAAAGCTTACGGGAATCTAAAAATGTATTGGATTAATAGAGCAGGACACATGGTAATTGATTCACCTTGACTTTCATTCTATCATTAATGTTATTGTTGATGTTAAGAAGATTTAGAAAAAAAATACATTGGAACCTCCGAACTTTATGTATTGCTCGGTTACGGTGTCTAAAGTTTGGAGTGTACACTTTGACGCAAAAAACAAAAAATATTCAGGGCCGTGTAATGTATAAAAGCGATGGGCACTTGATATAATATATAAGACTGTTACTGTTAATAATTTCTTTTTAAATTTTTCTGTTAGCCAAAAATAGGGCCACAAATAGGAACACTAAACTGACGCAAGTGCTTCTAGTATGCCGTCCACAGTGAAAAATTTCATTATTCAGTTAACTTCACTCATATGAAAACTCATAGTAAATATTATATATGAAGTAAATTGAATATAGAAATTTTTCATTTAGAACAGCTGCTGCACCAAAATTTTTTCAGTCCACTATTAAATTCTCCTAATCCCTCTCCTATTGTCTCCCCCATGTCCAAGAAGAGTTGCCAATGACCCTATCTAAACGCTACTGCGCTTGCGCTACGACAACTCTCTTATAGGCCGAAAAAAGCGCGCTTATATAAAATGCTTAATAATAAGAAAACGTTAATAAAGCAATATAAAAATTATAATGATAATTTCCTTCCCAATTATGTATTAGAATGTGAAAATTTTGATCCACGGAAGGTATTTAAAATAACACAAATTTTATGTCATTTTTTAATTTATTGCTAAGCAACGTTTCGATGACATGGTTTTGTCATCCTCTTCAGGCAAGTATAAAATTAAAATTACATTTTTTGTAATTAGTCAAATGAATATGAGATTTTGTGTCTTGTCATGGCAAGCAAATTTTCGAAAATTTGCTTGCCATGACAAGACACAAAATCTCATATTCATTTGACTAATTACAAAAAATGTAATTTTAATTTTATACTTGCCTGAAGAGGATGACAAAACCATGTCATCGAAACGTTGCTTAGCAATAAATTAAAAAATGACATAAAATTTGTGTTATTTTAAATACCTTCCGTGGATCAAAATTTTCACATTCCAATATAAAAATATTTTCACTATTGAATTTATTTTTTTTTTGTTAATTATATTGCTTCTTAATAAAAAAAATATTAATTTACATAATGTACACTTAAATATGTAAAAATAATAATAATAATAATTATAATATTAATAATTTTATTATATTTATATTATTATTGTTATTATTTTTTTATAAAATATATAATCTATTATTATTATCATCAATTAATTATTTAATAATTAATTCCCTAATATATTATTTATTTTTTTTATTATCATTAAATTGTTATTAATTAATTATCTATGATATATACATATATATTTTTTGAACAATTTATCGACATTTTTTGTACTTTTTTATGAGGAAAATTTGAATTGGGAAAAAAGTACAAAAAAACATTCGGTCATTTTTTTGAAATATATAGATGTAATACATTCATAGATATTATTTTAATAATAATTTATTGAAAATAATGATAATAAATAATATAATAATTAATTAATAAATATTATATTAATGATAATAATAATAGATTATGAACATTTTATTTAAAAAATAATGACAATAATGATATAAATATAATAAAATTATTATTATTATTATTATTATTATTGTTGTTATTGTTATTATTATTATATACTTAAGTATATTAAGGAAATTAGTATTTTTTTATTAGGAAGCAATATAATTCACAAAAAAAAAATTCAATAGTAAAAATATTTTTATATTGCTTTATTAAAGTTTTCTTATTATTAAGCATTTTATATAAGCGCGCTTTTTTCGACCTATAAGAGAGTTGTCGTAGCGCAAGCGCAGTAGCGTTTAGGTAAGGTCATTGGCAACTCTGTGTCCAAGGTAATCACATTCTAAAGTTAGGAGATTCCAGTGTATTTTAAATAGTAATTATATAAAGTAATTTGCAATTTATTATTTTAAAAAATTAAATTCGAATACTTAAAAGTTATGTTTGATTTTTGTTCTTTTACTTCTATATATAGGTTCCAACCGATAATCCAGCAGGAACAGCATCAATGCTAAAAGACCTTACAAGTAATAGTTAAAAGGATTATAATAATTATAACAATCCTTGAAAGAGTTCGAAATATATAATGTAATTAATTTTTTCGTTGTTAACTAATGTGAGATTAATTAAATTTCCCGAATGTAAGGTTAAATAAAGTTTAAAAAAAACATTTTTTTTTTTGAATGATTTGAGTATCTTTCTTTTATACACCCTTTCATAATTTTTGAATTTATAAAAACTTCTCTAAACGATCTTAGGAAAGAAATTTTTGAATTAATTCAAAACAATAATGTATTTCGTAGATGTGACATTTCGTCGGCCAGGATTTGTATAATATTAGTTTTTTTTATAAAAATCTTTATATGTTTTATGTGCTATTTTGGTTAAGTGGGGATCCTATACTTTATAGAAGGCCTAAAAATAGCGCCTTTTTAAGGCCAGGTCCAAGTGAGGCAGCGCCATCTACATTGATACTAAAATTTTGGAAAATTTTCAACAGCCTTTTCTTGAAAACAAGATGGTAAAATGCTTTTTCCTTTATGCATAATTGATTATTGGCAAGATATATACTAGCTAAAACATTTTTTGAGTTAAAATAATGAAAAAAATTTCATGTCGATAAATTAAATATGAGCACTTTTTTCACAAAAACTGTAACAGTACTTTCTTAGAAATTACAATCAAAAATGCAATTTCCATTTGGAAAATTAATAAACACTAAAAAATACACCACCTAAGATTTACCAATCACGAAAATAACAAAAAAAAATTTTATTAAATATTTAACATATTGATACTGCTTTAGACAGCCCTTTGGTAGATTATGTGTTTCAGGTGGTTAGCAACAGCGCCAATCTCCTCCTTTCGGCAAAACCGCGAAATGCTGGTGACATACATAACCTGCCAAACGGCTGTCATAATGAGTAAAATATGTTATGTTAAAAAACTTTTTTTTTGTTATTTTCGTGATTGGTAAATCTTAGGTCGTGTATTTTTTAGCGTTTATTAATTTTCCAAATGGAAATTGCATTTTTGATTGTAATTTCTGAGAAAGTACTGTTACAGTTTTTATGAAAAAAGTGCTCGTATTTAATTTATTGACATGAAAGTTTTTTTATTATTTTAACTCAAAAAAAGTTTTAGCTGGTGTATATCTTGCTAATAATCAATTATCCATAAAGGAAAAAGCATTTTACCTTCTTGTTTTCAAGAAAAGGCTGTTGAAAATTTTCCAAAATTTTAGTTTCAATGTAGATGGCGCTGCCTCACTTGGACCTGGCCTTAAAGAATTTTTTTAAAGAAAGAAAAAATTAACTTAGACCTCCGGGCATTTTGTGATGTTTTTGTATATATTTGAAGCATTTGTAAAAAAATTTTTCGACATAAAATATTAAAAAATAAAGAAATTAAAATCAATTGTTGATGGCGGTGCACATCTGGTCTTAAAATACGGCGGACACAATAGAGGCCGCAATTTTTGTTTGAAACATAAAATCAAGGAAAAATTTTAAAGTTTACATTTGTAGTTTCCATTTGAACCAAAAAAAAATTCCAAAGAATTGGTGAAATTCGATAATTTTTAGTGATAAAAACAAAAAAATAATTTAAAAAAATAAAATGACTAACTAACAAACCATCATTAATTATAATTTGTCAAGGCGTTTTCTGTCAATCCTGTCCGCCAGTTTGTCAAATTCGTAAAAAGTGAAATTAGAGAAAATGCGCTTCAAAATTTGTGGTTCAATAAATAAAAATTTTATGCGATTCAATATTTTTCTAATTAGCAATATCCCGGCTCCATGAAGTGCTTACTAATATAATAAATTACCTTTGTTAAATTATTAAATTACAAAAAATTCCTTCAGTCAAATGAGCAACGCAATAATTCACATAAAATTTAATCATTACCAAATCAAATGAAAACTTAAAAATTAAAAGACATTTTCTAATTTAAGAACGACAAAATGTAAATCTAATCGACACAAGAAAGATAACTGGAACATCCTCAATTTATATCAGTGTTTCTAAGGCACGTGGTCAGTAGGTTGACATATCAGTTACCGGAATAAAGGAATAACAGTAATAAAATGTTTGCAAAAAATATTATTTTAATTGTTCTATTAGGCATTTTTCCTGTCAGTTATGGTAAGAGATTCGAAATCATCAAGATTTAATTCAATAAATTTTTTTTAGGATATTTAGTGAAAAAAAAAATATTTGTAATTATAAACAAATCAATTTTTAATATAAATAAATATTTTTTAATAAAAAATTAAATTCAAAATGAAGAAACTTTTAAATCTTGATCATTTAACTAGGATCATTTTTCACAAACGTAATTCAGTGTCACCGCCATTGACCTTGAATTAACTCAATTCAGTAATATAGCACGACATGAATGTAATTTTTAGAGTTTTTATTTATGGATAATCTTTTATTTTTTAAAAATGAATAAAATATTTTTTGAAATTTTAAAAGATTAATTAAAACAACATATTTAGGAAAATCTGGATTTGGTTCTGGTGAACAGGAATGGGGTTACGTGAATGTTAGGCCAGATGCAGAAATGTTTTGGTGGCTTTATTATACAACTGCGAATGTATCGAATTATTTTGAAAAGCCATTAGTAATTTGGTTACAAGGTGGTCCAGGGATGTCATCAAGTGGTTTTGGAAATTTCGAAGAAATCGGTCCTCTTGATAGTAATGTAACAGATAGAAATAATACTTGGGTAAAAATTTTGTTACTAAAATATGTGATAATTAAAATTAAAACAGTTTGCCAAAAGACATTTGTTTGAGTTTTTTTTTTATTTTATTTTTTATTCATTATTTCATTTATTATTAGGGGAATAGTTTCAGGGTTGGACACAGTTTTGGTTTTTTGTTTATAAATATTTTGTTTAGATAAATTCAGTCAATTGTGGTATATGGGTGGAATGATCTACAAAAGAGGAACACTTCTGCTGTGGACCGTAAATTGATTGGTCCAAAATTAAAAAAGTTATAAACATTTAAAAAAAAAATCTAGTCAGGGTTGGAATTTTCAGTCAGGGTTGGACACTTTTTGAAAATCGAAACGCATTATTGGTAAAAACGTAAAATAACATTTGTAATGTTTTTTATTCTTATTTTTTCATGTTTATCTTTACTTATTGTTTACAAATTGTAAAGCTTCATGGGTTTAAAAAAGGAATGAACTCAAATTACAAAAAATAACGCTTTATTGTTCCAAATAACTCAATGAAATGATGAACAAAATTTATACAATTTAAGTATTATTTTTCTAATATCTTTGGCACAATTTTGCACTGAAATATCAATAAAATAAAATTTATTTATAAATTGTGTCAAATTCATAATTAATATGGGTGTTCAACCCTAACTGTATATAAGTGTCCAACCCTAACTAGAAGCATCATTTTCGAATTGTGCTAACCATAACCAGACATGTGTCGCGATTCGATTTTTCACTTTTTTTTTCTTAAATTATGTACCCCACAATACATTCAATAAGCTTACCTTGTCGAATTCTTGCTTTTTTTACACATTTTTTAGGTTTATTCACAAGTCAAACAAAACTTTTTTTGTCTCTTCGATTGCACTGAAGTCACGGGAGACGCTACTTTTGATTCTCCAAAAATGTAATGCCACAAAAAGTTAGGTTACACTTCTAGAAAATTCGTCACGTTCGCACGCAGGTGGCGCTAGTGTTCTTATTTAAAAAAAGCCAAGTGTCCAACCCTGACACTATTCCTGTACCTGTTATTCATTTATTACAATATAACGTCCGCAGAATAATATTTTATGGGAAAAAAAAAATCGTACTATCTTTGTGATTTTGGCACTTCTTTGAAAAAACATATTAAACACTAAATCGATTTTCCAGTATCAATGGATTTACTAATGTTGTTGTGGTCGTTGAATCTGAATTTGATGTCAGAATTAAAAAATTAAAAATAGAGGACTCAATATTATGATGTCCAAATATGGCAGAAAATTTTTAAATTGATTCGATCAGAATTTGCGTTACTCGGTTTTGTTTTGGAGTAGCTGAAACCAAATCCGATATATTAGATTTTAAAATCATGTGACTTACAAGTAACACTACCCAAGTGCCAATCGCCGATTGACTTGAGTCTTTGCGCATTTTTTAGAGGAGCTAAAAATATTTGATACGTACATTTTTATATCGGCAATGAAGATGTTTTAAGGGTTGAAAACAGGGGTTGAAAAGTCATATTTTGAGTGGCAAAATATACATATCATGATCATTAAAGAAAGTTTAATTAAAATCATTATTTCATTATTTAAAAAATGTTTGACACTTCTTTCTTGATTTCCTAAAAGATACTGCTCGGTAGAAATTACAGTTATAAACCTTTTTGAATGGGGTGAGTGAAACCTTTAACCCTTTAAGAACCAAATATACAAAATTTTTGCATGATTTCACAACCAATTTTTCAAAGTGATTTGAATCGCTTGAAACTTGTTACTCGGGGGTTTTCGGGGTTGCTGATTACGAATTCGATGTCAGTTTTTCAAAATTCAAAATGGCGGATCCAATATTGGCGAAGACATTTTGAAAATCAACTGCAATTTGATTGAAACTTGTTACTCGGGGGTTTTCGGGGTCGCTGATTACGAATTCGATGTCAGTTTTTCAAAATTCAAAATGGCGGATCCAATATGGCGGAAGACATATTGAAAGTCAACTGCAATTTGATTGAAACTTGTTACTCGGGGGTTTTCGGGGTCGCTGATTACGAATTCGATTAAAAATTGGAAAATTGAAAATGTCGGATTTAATATGGTGGGCGAAAAATTGGGAAAGGGGTGATTAAAATTTCGTAACGAAACTCATGTAGAATAGATAAAAAATAAATTATCTGTGAATTTTTAAGGTTCCTAATTAGGATTCTAAAACCAATTTTCAAAATTGCAAAATATTCGTAATCAGCGACCCCGAAAACCCCCGAGTAACAAGTTTCAATCAAATTTCAGTTGATTTTCAAAATGTCTTCCGCCATATTGGATCCGCCGTTTTGAATTTTGAAAAACTGACATCGAATTCGTAATCAGCAACCCCGAAAACCCCCGAGTAACAAGTTTCAATCAAATTGCAGTTGATTTTCAAAATGTCTTCCGCCATATTAGATCCGCCATTTTGAATTTTGAAAAACTGACATCGAATTCGTAATCAGCGACCCCGAAAACCCCCGAGTAACAAGTTTCAAGCGATTCAAATCACTTTGAAAAATTGGTTGTGAAATCATGCAAAAATTTTGTATATTTGGTTCTTAAAGGGTTAAAGGTTTTACTCACCCCATTCAAAAAGGTTTATAACGGTAATTTCTACCGAGCAGTATCTTTTAGGAAATGAAGAAAGAAGTGTCAAACATTTTTTGAATAATGAAATAATGATTTTAATTAAACTTTCTTTAATGATCATGATATGTATATTTTGCCACTCAAAATATGACTTTTCAACCCCTGTTTTCAACCCTTACAACATCTTCATTGCCGATATAAAAATGTACGTATCAAATATTTTTAGCTCCTCTAAAAAATGCGCAAAGACTCAAGTCAATCGGCGATTGGCACTTGGTGGTGTTACTTGTTAGGTTAGTAGTGTTAATTTGACCGTAACTTTTTTGGATTATGCTGAAATTTTGTGGAAGAATTTAAGATATGATAAAGAATGGTTGTGAAGTGCAAAAATTTTGATATATTGTTAAATAAATATAATAAAAGACATAAAAATAATTGTTAGAAAATCCGACACTCCTAACCCCACATTTTCTAACTATTTTCTTTTTTTCTAATAATTATTTAACAATATATCAACATTTTCGCACTTAACAACCATTCCTTATAATATTTGGAACTCCTCCATAAAATTTCAACTCAATCCATTTAGTATTTTACAAGAAAAGTTACGGACAAATTAACATTACAGACCTCCCGCACAGCACCGAAACTTTCCTAAAGATTTATTTGAAATGTTCGGAATATTTAAATGCAATGTTTAGTGAAAGTTGTGTAAAGATTTAAAAATGTCCCTCTTGAATAAATGTTTAGCGCGAAACTTTTCTGAAGATTTATTTAATCCGGACATTTAAATCTTTACACAATTTTCACTAAACATTGTAATTAAATATTCCGAACATTTCAAATAAATCTTTAGGAAAGTTTCGGTGCTGTGGGTATAAATAAATAGTTAAAATTTCAGTTTTTCTTTTCATAGGTAAAGGAATATAATGTATTATTTGTCGACAATCCTGTGGGAGCTGGTTTTAGTTATACTACAACAAAAGATGCACTCACACGAACAAACAAGCAAATTGCACTTGACCTTTTGGTATTTATTAAAAACTTTTTAGAAAACTTCCCAAATTTTGCTAATGTATCCACTTACATTATTGGCGTATCCTATGGGGGTAAAATGACTGTTGAATTTGCATATTTATGGTACAAGGTAAAAATAATTTCTCGCTTTTCCTATATATTTCATAATAATTAAAACTCATACTCTAAAATGTTTTCTAATATTGCAAAAAAATTTTCTCCTACAATTATATTTGTTTATAGTATTATAATAAAAGAATAATACTATATCTTCATAAATATGCGTCAAAATATAATTCTTCATTTTCAGGCTCAAGAGAAAGGTGAAATTAATAGTAATTTAAAAGGAGTTGGACTTGGAGATTCTTGGATTTCACCAATTGATTCTGTTTTGACTTGGGCTCCATTCTTATTGGAGACTGTAATTTGAGTTTTTTTTTTTGTTTTCGTTCAATTTTTTGGTTTTATATTCTAAAATCTGCAGACAGATTTGCTGCTAAAAAGACTGCAGAATGTCTGCCGACTGTTTTACTTTGAATTTTATAAATAAATTATAATATTATATAATAAATAAATAAAAATAATAATAAAATAGTAAATAAAAAATTAACACTATTTAGGGTATGGTTGACACCGAAGGTTACCAACAAATTATGAAGTCTGCGAATAAAACAAAAGTTGCTGTAGAAAAAGAAGAATGGAAATTAGCATTTGATCTATGGATGGATACTGAGCAAGAAATTATAAATGTCACAAAGAGTATAAGCTTCAATAATATTTTGGATAAGTCTAGTGTTAACGAATCTACGTTTAGTAACGATCTTGAAGAATTGATGAACTCTAAAGTAAAAGAGGCACTTAAGTTAAATTCTACTTTTAATAATCAATTCTCTGAAGTATTCACCACTCTTTCAGAAGATTTTATGAAGCCAACAACAGACATAGGTTATTGATTTAAAAAATAAATAGATCGTATTTTTAGATAATCAACAGGAAAGGCATTCATTATACATTATATTTAGAAATTCTAAAAACTCTTTCAAAATTGATTTCCATCTGTCAATTTGAAAGTATCAATTTGATCCAATTCGGTATCAAATTTTGGTACCTTCGAGAAAATAGTGCAATTATTGATTGTACTATTTCGAATGTCAGAATATCATTATTACACAGAAAAAACCTAATCTCATTTTTGTTGCAAATAAAAATGAGCCAATGATAAACAACATAGACAGTGGCGCCACTAATCTGGTTCATTTTTGTTGCACATCAAAATGAGCCGCCTACACGGCGCATTCTGAGTTCAGTTTTTTTCTGTGTAATTTTAATAAATTTGATATCAATTTTTTACTTTTCTCAGTGGAACTCCTTCTAAATAAAACTGATATTAAAGTTTTTGTATACACTGGTCAATTAGATCTCATTGTCGATACACCAGGTAACGATATTTCTTTAGTCAATGAAATTAAATAACAATTACTATTATTAAGAATACTTAAAATTTGTATTTCTTCTTTTTAATCAGGAACTCTTATTTGGGTGGAAAAACTGCAATGGGATAATGCTGAAAGATGGAGAAAGGCTCCTAGAAAACCAGTAGTGGTAAATAATATCATTGAAGGTTATGTTAAAGCTTACGGAAATCTAAAAATGTATTGGATTAATAGAGCAGGACACATAGTAAGTAATGTTTTATTATTAAATTCAATTCAATTAAACATATATGGTTACAGTAATAATTTACATAATGATGAATTTATCAATTATTATACTCAGACAGCACGTAAGCTTGCAGCAAACTTGCCACGCAATATTGCCAACCTTGCACGGCAATCTTTAAATGTCCCACCTAACCCAAGCTTGCATGGTAAGCTTGCCGAAAGATTGCAGTGTAAGGTTACTGCAAGATTGCTCAGTAAGATTATCGCAAGATTGCATGGTAAGCTTACCGAAAGATTGTAGTGTAAGGTTACTGCAAGATTACTGCAAGATTACATGATAAGATTATCGCAAGCTTGCATAGTAAGCTTGTGGCAAGCTTGGTGCAAGTTTGCTGCAACCTTCTGTGCTGATTGGCAAGGTTATTTGGCAACCTTGCGACAAGCTTACCGTGCAAGCTTACTGAGAAATCTTGCTTGGGTCAGGTGGGACATTTGAAGTATGCTGCAAGCTTACGTGCTATCTGGGTAAGAATAATAATAATAATTTATTCAAATTACTTTAATATTTAATAGGTTGCAAAAGACAATCCAGTAGGTGTAGCATCAATGCTGAAAGACCTTACTAGCAATAGTTAAAAGTTTTATGATAATTACAATCATTGGTAGAAATATTTCAAAATATAATGTAATTAGTGAATTTTGTTGTAAATAAATATGAGATTATAATTTATTCTACAAAAGTACTTTATGAGTTACTTAGTGCACTGATAGAAACGATTGGTTTCAATTACCATTTAATTAATTAGTAAGAGTATTTTTGCTAATTTATATTTACGATTTAGTTAATCAGCCTATACCTATTATGAAGAATTCCAAATTCATTATTGGCTGCCGAGGCTGGGCAGTCTGTACTGAACAAGTACTGGTATTTTCATTGTATCAGTACTGGTGCAGTACCATCCTCCCAGCACTGGCAAACCAATACTGAGCCAATATTGAGCGAGTACTGGCTCAAATAGATTTTCTTTTTGATAAATACTAGTTTACAAAAAGTTCTAGAGTGAACCTGATGAATCTTTTTATTTAAATATCTTGTTTATAAAAATTTTTTTACTTTGATTTTATTTTTGAAAATTAAAAGGTAATTTTCTATTACGGCGTGTTTGTGACAGTTTCGGTGACCAAAATTATGTGTATTTTGAAGATACTTTGCCCGCCGTAATTGAAGCCAATGGAAATCTTAAAAATGTTTCAATTACGTCGTGGGAATAATTTGATAAATAAGTATAAAATGATAAATTTTAATAATTTTTTTCAATCATTTTGCAACAGTTATATTAAATATAATAATAATAATAGTAATTTTTAATGAACACGCCGTAATTGGTACACTTACCTTAATATAATATAAAAAAATATTAGAAATATAAATAAATATTTCAAAACGCCTTTTCGGTATTTCTTTATTACAAATGAGATACATTTATCTTTTCTACACGTCACTTATAAGACTAAACACATGGAGTCATGCTTTTTCTTTTTGAAATTTGCATATTGCACAAATAATACATTATGTCACACAATATGACGGAAGATCATTTATTATAATAATCTAAATAGGATCTTATAGCGACCGAAATGCCACAAGAGAATATTGCGTTATAAGTCCTAATGGAAGAAAACAGCGATTTTCAATGAAAAATTACAATTTTTTTTGTTCATGTCGTTAAAAATCTTATATATAAAAAAAATATATAAGGGTTACTATGATAGAATATTAAAATTTATAATCTTTATAAAGCAGTCTTTTAATAAATTGTTGCGCATAGAATATTAAAAAAAAAAAAAAAACCTGATGAAAAAATATTTCTATTCTTTGGTCTAAAAAAAAATTTCAAATCTAATGAAAATTTTTTTTCAACAAGTTTCCTTTATAAAAAAAGATCTACGACAAAATTTTTCTTGAATATACATTATAATATCGATAAATTGAGAATGGTTGTCTTCTTCATAAGGGCAGTGCGTTCGACAAATAAATATTAAATAACAAACATTAGTCTGGAATTAACGTTAAGTATTAAGTCTTAAGTCCACGTGCTTTTGTGTACTTTGATAACGTTTTCACTTGGGCAGCTATATAGTGATAATTATTATACACGCACTTTGCGCAAGTCTGACATTATTTACAATTTTTTTTTTTTTTTTTTTTGTCACTAAAGTATATATCTTTATTTCGCAGATTATTGGTAATGAATGATTCAAGACAATTATAACTGTAATAGAAAGATATTAAATTGTCAACTGTAAATAAGAAAAAAATAAAATAAAAAAAAAAATGTTCTGAAAGTGCGTGTAGCGCCAAAAAGCGCAACAAAATTCGGTCACGAGGCAGAGTTTATACGAAGACATTAGACTTTTATATAATAACGGGACAAAAATAAATACAACGCTTCCCTATACTGAAAATATAATACAGAGAAAAGGACTGATACAGTCAGATAACTGATTATCATCAGTATAAAGAACATTTGACACTTTTTCACAAGCACTGTTTCTAATTTTTTAGTTTCTTTTGAAGTTATTTATTTATTTATTTATTTATTTTTTGTTCTTAAACATCTTCACTGTCAGCATATTTTAAATTTGCAGTTTCATCTTCACTTAATGACAGTAGACATCTTTCTATTTCTAAGGGTGCCGCATCCGAAGGCGATGAATCTGATAGAATATTTGATTTCGAACGACGTTCCGGTCCTCCATTCACAAAGTACTTTAGAGGAATTTCTACCTTTTCTTCCCTTGGACATCTCCTGAAAATTTGCATACATATAAATTATAATCCTCAATAAAATTAGGAAAGCAATTTTTTCTAAAACAAAATTCACGATTTGTTCCCTCATAACAAAAGGATATCTCTAGGATATCCATAGGATATCCATATCAATGGTCGATATCCTAGAATGGTCCCCAGGATATCTTGGAATATCCCTAGGATATCCAAACCGCCGGTCTGTGGGACATCAACAGGACATCAATAGGATACCCACAGGATATCCCTAAGACATCTACAAAATATCTATTGGATATTATATCGCAGGATATCCATGGGATATCCCTAGGACATCCAAACCGCTGGTCTGTGGGACATCAACAGGATATCCACAGGATATCCCTAAGACATCCACAAAATATCTATTGGATATTATACCGCAGGATATCCATGGGATATCCCTAGGATATCCAAACCGCCGGTCTGTGGGACATCAACAGGACATCAATAGGATATTCACAGGATATCCCTAAGACATCAACAAAATATCTATTGGATATTATATCGCAGGATATCCATGGGATATCCCTAGGACATCCAAATCGCTGGTTTGTGGGACATCAACAGGATATCCACAGGATATCCCTAAGACATCTACAAAATATGCATTGGATATTATATCGCAGGATATCCATGGGATATCCCTAGGATATCCAAACCGCCGGTCTGTGGGACATCAACAGGATATCCATAGGATATCCCTAAGACATCCACAAAATATCTATTGGATATTATATCGCAGGATATCCATGGGATATTCTCAGGATGTCCGTGGGATATTCTTAGGATATTCACGGGATATTTAATATCTGAACATATATTTTTAAAGGTTAAAATTGTTATGCTAATATAATGAATAATAATATAATAAAAAGAAAAATCTTATGAGCTTCTAATTTATTTTAAATGAAGATTTGAAACGCATTTTTCAAAGTTTTTAAATAAACTCATGCACTTAATGTATAATTAATATTAATAGTTATTCGTTATTTGCGGGGAAGAATTTATATTGTTAAAAGCCAATTTATTTTCTGACAATATTAAGCATATGAATAAAGGAATGAATCACGAATGAGAAAAAAATTAGTTAATAATTTTTCAAATTAAACAACTTTCTCGAAAAAAAAGTTGCATTTTATTTTCTTTATATAAAATTTAATTCACAGAATATTCTCACTCGCAGTCTCATAATGACTTTAAAAACAGTATCCTGAGAATATCTTCTTGACATCCAGAAGATATACTGAGAATATCCTGAAAATATCTGTGGGATATCCTGACGATATCTATGGGATATCCTGATGATATCTGTGGGATATCCTGACGATATCTATGGGATATCTGGAGGACACTTATGAAAGTCTATAGAGATATCCAGAAGATATCCTGTGGATATCCTCAGATATACATGGGATATCGAAAGGATATCCAAACCGCCGATTTTTTTGGATATCCTTAAGTGATCCTTTTGATATCCATAGGACATCCCTAGGATATCTGCGGAATATTATCAATATATCCCAAAATATCTTGTGTTATTAGGGAATAATAAAAAATATGAATGTTAATAATAATAAATAAAAATGTCTCATAATGACTTTAAAAACAGTATCCTGAAAATATCTTCTTGACATCCAGAAGATATACTGAGAATATTCTGAAAATATCTGTGGGATATCCTGACGATATCTGTGGGATATCCTGACGATATCTATGGGATATCCTGACGATATCTATATATGGGATATCTGGAGGACATTTATGAAAGTCTATAGAGATATCCAGAAGATATCCTGTGGATATCCTCAGATATACATGGGATATCCAAAGGATATCAAAACCGCCGATTTTTTTGGATATCCTTAAGTGATCCTTTTGATATCCATAGGACATCCCTAGGATATCTGCGGGATATTATCAATATATCCCAAGATATCTTGTGTTATTAGGGTTTACTTACGCGGATAATGGTGGACAGGACCAGAGTTTAAAATCAGCTCCAAAAAGTTCACCTTCTTCAACAGTCTGTGGCAAATGTATATTTAATGTTTCTGGCAAGAAAATGGACGTTATTGCTCCGGCTACACTTAATGATCCCATTATAATTAGAGGGAGAACTCTTGAATAAACAGCTAAATGCACAATGTAGGGAAATGTTAAAAGACCTATTCCAGCTATAAATGATGCAATCCCCATTGCTTGGGACCTGAGAACAGTTGGCAATAATTCTCCCACAAATACGTAGAAGACTGCAAATGATGCTGCTATTCCAAATTTTCCAATCATTGCTAAACTCACTGTCACCCAAACAGCATCTAATAAAAGTTTAAACTGCTTCAATTTTTTATTTATTAATTATATTATTAAAAAAATAATTGAATTTTTAAAAAATATTAAATACAAATTTTAAATTATAAATGTTCTTTAAATTATAGAAGAAATGTGAGATTATATACCTTCGGGAACAAACATGCATGAAACACATGCTAAACCTCCTAGAAGCATAGTTAGACAAAGAACCCATCGCCTTCCTATTCTATCCATAGCGTACCATGTAATTACGTAGGATGGAATCTCTACTATTCCACCTAAAACAATTTGTAAATGACAAAAATTTTATTGTGATGGTAAATTATATTCAAATTTTATAATACTTGGTTGTGTTATAATCAGTGTCATTTTGTGCTAATTTGATTATTCATGTCAATTATGCTTTTAGATATAGAGAATTAACCTATAGTGTTACTGTATTTCTTGTGACATCACAAGTTTCACAATTCTGATAAATTGTAGGTTAGGTATTATAATCGTTAATTCTTCTGTACATTTGTATCAAAGTATTGAGAAGTTATTTCAATTTTCATTAAGAGGAATTGAATTATTATTGAATAGCTGATAGCATAGGTAGGTCTAAAGCGTCTAAAGTGTTGGCACTAGCGTCACCCAGGTTTAATAATCCGCAAAGAATCTGTAAACTATTTTCTTGACTTTATATAAAATACTGTCTAAAAATTCTGGAAAAATTTTACCATAATTCTTGTTTAATTAGAATATTACATAGAAAAAGTATTAAAAGAAAATTATTGCACTATAATGTATATTCGAGACAGAATTTCTAATTAATAGAATTTTCATTTGTCCGAAATTGCAAGTGTCCAAACAAACAATCGTCAGAAAGATTTGGGCTCGATTTTTAAAATCAACCAATCACAATTTTATAGATAATTTTTGATTGGTTGATTTCAAAAATCGCGTCGAAATCTTTCTGTTGATTGTTTGCTCGGCCACTTGTAATTTCGGATAAATGAAAATTCTATCAATTAGAAATTCTGTTAAGGGTATTGGGAATCTCCCACATAACCCAGTATGGGAAAATGTGTTTTGGTAGTATAGATCTTACTCTAAAACGAGAAAAGATTTTTGTCTAAAATTTTGACGGATGATAGATTAGGGTACAAGGAATCTCGCTGTTTTCAGAAAAATATATAAATTTGCGTTAAATTATTAAAAAATGAAGTTTTAAAAAGTGTCATTTTTAAACGAAAATGAAAAGAAACATGGCGGCGCATACACAGACGTTGCTTGAGTGTGTCAGTGCTCCAGTAAACAGCGCCAATTCGAGCAAGTGGCCGCTGAATGAACTATGATACAACACATTATTTTACTATTTATTGCTTTATTTTTATTATTTTTGCGTTAAGTTATATTAAATGAGTAGAACAGCGAGATTCCTTGTATCAAACAAAATCATTTCTCCAAAATTTTAACCCGAAATCATTTTTTATTTCAGAGAAAGTTTCAAACCACAAAAAAACGTCCTTTGCCCACATACCCTTAAATGATTTTTCGGTTAAGTAAAAATTCTGTAGTATTAAAAATCGGTTTGATGAAAATTCTACAAAATACTAATTTGAAAAAATAAAAATTCGTCTCAAAAATAATTATGACAAATGAAATTCTATAAAATGAAAATTCTTAGTAATGATTTTTAGAACATATTCATGCGTCCCTTTATTTCTTTAAATTGTAATTTTAGAAAAATTCCACTTAAGAGTGTCAAAAGGTCTCTGAAATTCTTTGGCAAAGAGAGACCTTTAATTATCGCCCTATAAAAACAGCACTGAACGTGAAAACATTGATTTTAAAATACTTTTTTTTTAAAAAAAACGGACATTTCTTATATGCAAAATTGACCAAAATACCAAAGATCCTTATCTTATAAATTTTCTAAATCCGAAAAATTTGTGAATCCACACAAAAACGCAATTCCAAAACGAAAAGTAGGAAAGTAATATAATGACAGGTTCATTACGTCCTGACGCCGACAGATGGCGTTTTTGTGAGGATTCGCATAATCTTTCGGATTTAAGAAATTTATAAGATAAGGATCAGTTTTCAGTGTGTAATATTCAACTTTAGAAGGTTAATGTTGCAAAAAATAATTTATAACCATTTCATCTCCTTCAGTACTAAAGAAATATGACATTAATTTCAAATTTCATGACATGTTTGCTAATCTGGGCACCACTTCAGTTTTCACTTAGATTCAGAAATACTCACCTCACATATCGATTGTAAACATAAGAGCTCAGAAAACAACCAAAGAATATGAAATCTTTTCTTATTTCTTTAATCGGAGAAGTTATAAATTTATTATCATTTTTGTAAAGAAATTTTTAAAACTAAGAGTAATTTGTAAACCCTAACATTATTCTTAAATCTTAATTTAACTAAATGCTAATAACAAATACAGAAATAGATTTATTGTTTTGAATAACAACTCTTTGCAAAGTTATGTAGCACGATTTATTATATTTATAAAGCAATTGTTCAACGCTGAGCATTTCTACAAACAGTATTCGTCGCAAGCAATCCGTTTAAGATAAATAACATAGTGACTTTAAGGCTTCTTTCTACATTCTATTCATCCATTTGAATTCAAGTTTCAATTAATTTAATATAATTTCTAAACGTCCAATTAAATTTATTAAGAGAATTGAAAGGTATTTTTTTAAAATTTTTAAATAATTCAATATAGCTAGTCTCTATTAAGAAAAATTAATGAAAATTTTTATTCATATTCCCGTGCAGAAATTGACCCACTTTGTCTTTTTTAAAATAGGTCTACATGGAAAATAATGAAATGTCTGAAAATGCTGATTGTTATTATTTTAAAAATGTCAATAAACTAAGATTTTGATATTTCCTTTTGTAAAAAAAAGATATATTAACAATTAAAGAGAATATATGAACCTCCCAATTCTATAACTCGATCTGCGCTCGGACGATCAGCGTAAAGGCAGTCAGTCGGATCAAAATGTGAAAAAAAGATCCAAAGTTGAAAATAAAAAATTTTAAAAACACTCTCTTCTATAAAATGAAAATGCGCTACTTTTTTTTCTTTAATATTTTTTTGTAAAGTGAATACTGTTAAGAAGTAGAGACAACAAATGAAAAAATTTTTTTTTCTTAATTTCATTGAATTTTAAAACATGAATCGTCATAACTTGGACAAATGTTGACGGATTTGTTTAAAAATTGGAATACAATTGTATTAGGGTGTACTGAAGATGATAAAATGATATAAATATGAAAAGTGACTTTCTGTTTTTAAGTAACTCGTTACATTTAAGTTACTTAATGAAAAAAAGTAACTAGTTACTGTTACTTTTATAAAAAAGTAACTAGTTACTGTTACATTTATAAAAAAGTAACTCGTTACAGTTACAGTTACTTACAAAGTTACATTTCAAGTTACTGAAAAATTATTTTAAAATTTGTCTTATCGAAATTCAATTTTTTTATCAAATGGGAATCAAATTCAAAGGTGAAATATAATTGTAATACATGTATTTATTCAAGTTCTTCACATAGATTTGTATTCATTTTAATAAAAGCATCATCTTTTCTTTCCCCTAAAGTTTTACGTGTAAAAATTTTAAAATTTCCTGGTAATCCAAGTAACCTTATTTGACTGTGATGAAGAATCTGAGAATTGTTCTTCGAATTTTCTCTTTTTTTTTTCTTTCGCTATAGCTGCTTCTAATTCTTTAACGCACCCATGTTTAACCTATCCAGGTATTTATTTATAAAAATTTTTAAAATATTATCATTATTAGAAAATTAGTTTTTATAATCATGGATTTTGTTTGCCATTTTAAGAATTAATTTACAAATCAATTAATAAGGTACAATTTCGACACGGGGTTGCTAAAAATTATTTTTATAAACTCTTAAATAAAAGTCTATATAAAACTTAATTAATTAATTAATTAATTAATTAAAATGTTATTTTAAAAAATCTTGTACCCCACGTGAAAAGGTTCCCGGAATTTTTGCAAAGTGACTCTGGGAGTAGTTCCCAGAACATTCTGAGAACATTCCCGGAAAATTTTTGGTTTTTTCCCAGAATTCATGGAATATTCGTTTCAATCAAGTAATTGATACTCAGGGATGACTCCAACGTACATCATGATGACTAGGAGTCAATTGGACAACTTCTTCGGGGAATTTTAGCTGTAATAAAACAATCGATACTCCAGGATGACTCCAACGTACATCATGATGACTAGGAGTCAATTGGACAACTTCTTCAGGGAATTTTCGTTTTAACCAAATAATCGAGTTTCTATGACAACTCCAACGTACATCCAGATACCCAGGTGTCAATTGGGCAACTTCTCCAGGGAATTTTAACTGTAATCAAATAATCGATACTCCAAGATGACTCCAACGTACATCATGATGACTAGGAGTCAATTGGACAACTTCTTCGGGGAATTTTACCTGTAATAAAACAATCGATACTCCAGGATTACTCCAACGTACATCATGATGACTAGGAGTCAATTGGACAACTTCTCCAGAGAATTTTAGCTGTAATCAAACAATCGATACTCCAGGATGACTCCAACGTACATCATGATGACTAGGAGTCAATTGGACAACTTCTCCAGAGAATTTTAGCTGTAATCAAACAATCGATACTCCAGGATGACTCCAACGTACATCATGATGACTAGGAGTCAATTGGACAACTTCTTCAGGGAATTTTCGTTTTAACCAAATAATCGAGTTTCTATGACAACTCCAACGTACATCCAGATACCCAGGTGTCAATTGGGCAACTTCTCCAGGGAATTTTAACTGTAATCAAATAATCGATACTCCAAGATGACTCCAACGTACATCATGATGACTAGGAGTCAATTGGACAACTTCTTCGGGGAATTTTAGCTGTAATAAAACAATCGATACTCCAGGATGACTCCAACGTACATCATGATGACTAGGAGTCAATTGGACAACTTCTTCAGGGAATTTTCGTTTTAACCAAATAATCGAGTTTCTATGACAACTCCAACGTACATCCAGATACCCAGGTGTCAATTGGGCAACTTCTCCAGGGAATTTTAACTGTAATCAAATAATCGATACTCCAAGATGACTCCAACGTACATCATGATGACTAGGAGTCAATTGGACAACTTCTTCGGGGAATTTTACCTGTAATAAAACAATCGATACTCCAGGATTACTCCAACGTACATCATGATGACTAGGAGTCAATTGGACAACTTCTCCAGAG